CCAGAAGATAATTTGTGGTCTCTTAAGTAACAGAAGAAGAAAATTGCAGGCTGGGCGCTATGGCTCATGCCTGTAATACATACTAGCGCTTTGGGAGGCTGAGGTAGGCAGATCAGTTGAGTTCAGGAGTTCGAGACCAGCCTGAACAATGTGGTGAAACCCTGTCTCTGTTGAAATACAAAAATTAGCTGGGCATGGTGGTACATGCTTGTAGTGCTAGCTTCTCAGAAGGTTGAGGTGGGAGAATCACTTGAACCTGGGAGGTGGAGGTTTCAGTGAGCCAAGATTGCACCAGAGCAAGACTCTGTCTCAAGAAAAAAGGAAAATTCCAAAATGGGGAGTAGAACCTTGTTTTCCTGATTTCCAGTCTAACCCTAAGATTATTCTTAGATTGCCTGAACCTTGAGGTCAGCATAGGGAATAGTACCAAAAAAACCAAAAACAACAACAACAAAAAAACAGAAATTAAAAAAAAATTCTCTTTTAAAATGACAGGACAGTTGTTTGTTTCTGAACTAATTATCTTTTCCCCCATTTAGTCTTGAGGGATAGAGTAGGATTTGGGGTTTCAGTACTGCACTACTATTTCTTTCTTTGAGTCATTGTGGGTCAAGAAAACAAAGGGTAATGAAAATACTAAATGTTACATGTATCCTCTCATTTTGCAGCTGTCCTATGATATAGGTAGTGTTCGTGTTTTGTTATTTTTATTAGGTTTTCATTGCTAAACAAAAAATAGGCTTTGGAAAGCTAGGTAATTTGCCTGAGATAACATAGCTGATGTGTGTCAAAGTTGGCCTTCACAAAATTGAACTCAGATTTTTTTTCTTCCGAAGTGTAAAGTTTTGGGAGGAGCATTGATCAAGAAGACATTGGAAGCCTAAAACGTCCAGGCAGCGTGGTTTGATTAGTAGATGACTTTGAGGGAGGTGAGGCTCTGACTTACCTGAGCGCAGACACAGCTGAGATCCTTGTGGTTCTTATGTACACTTGTCAGCTATTTTCACAGCTGCTTGTCACATCTCCAGTTGCTGCAGCCATCTGAGCCATGTGCTAATTAAAGGGAGTGTACTTAACACCTTGTCTGAAGATTTGCACCACATTGGTCATAGGGGACCTCTTTTCCTAATTGATCACCCATAAATTAGCAAAATGTCTTTTTGTAAAATATGTTTGTGAAGTATGCGTCTTTTTTTTTTGAGACAGAGTCTCTGTCGCCTAGGCTGGAGTGCAGTGGCATGATATTGGCTCACTGTAACCTCTGCCTCCTGGGTTCAAGTGATTCTCCTGCCTCAGCCTCTGGGGTAGCTGGGATTATAGGTGTGTGCTACCACACCTGGCTAATTTTTGTATTTTTTGTAGAGACGGGGTTTCCCCATGTTGGCCAGACTGTTTTCGAACTCCTGACTTCAGGTCATTCGCCCACCTTGGCCTCCCAAAGTGCTGGGATTCCAGGTGTGACCCACTGCACCTGACGACGTATGTGTCTTATACAAAATGGTTATAAAGGGTTAGAAGGAGGAAAGTGAAGTAAGTTTCAAGCTTGGTAGGCATACGTATATTTATACTATTACCATTTATATTTATATAAATAATTTTTTAAAATTTATTTTTATTTTTTGGAGGCAGAGTCTCACTGTGTTGCCTAGGCTAGCCTCAAACTCCTGCCCTCTAGCAATCTTTCTGCCTCAGCTTTCCCATAGTTGGGATTACAGGCATGTTCTGCCACACTTAGCATTTATATTTTTATAATTATATTTTAGAGATGGTGGGAGCAAATTTGGTGTTTATTACATTGTCTCATTAAACTGAGGAATTTCCACACTCGAGAGTGGGTCTAAGAACTTGACTATAGGGCGGGCACGGTGGCTCACGCCTGTAATCCCAGCACTTTGGGAGGCCGAGGTGGGTGGATCACGAGGTCAAGAGATCGAGACCATCCTGGTCAACATGGTGAAACCCCGTCTCTACTAAAAATACAAAAAATCAGCTGGGCATGGTGGCGCGTGCCTGTAATCCTAGCTACTCAGGAGGCTGAGGCAGGGGAATTGCCTGAACCCAGGAGGCGGAGGTTGCGGTGAGCTGAGATCGCGCCATTGCACTCCAGCCTGGGTAACAAGAGCGAAACTCCGTCTTAAAAAAAAAAAAAAAAAAAACTTGACTATATCTAATAATTGACCTTTGGATTTACACTTTTGCACTTAAAGTCACTGAGTGGTTCTAAGCAGAGAAGTAACATAATTTAATGAATGCTTTTATTTTTAATTTTTTTTCTTTTAGCTTCTGATTCTGTGGTTGAATTTTTTTCTTTTTAATATATTTTTTAGAGATGGTGTCCTACCGTGTTGCCCAGGTTGGTCTTCAAATCCTGGGTTCAGGCGAGCCTCCCACCTCGGCCTCCCAAAATGCTGGGATTACAGGCAAGAGCCGCTGTGTTGGGTTGATTTTTTTATTTTATTTTTTTTCTAGATGGGGTTTTGCTCTGTCACTCAGGCTAGGGTGCAGTGGCATTATCTTGGTTCACTGTAGCCTTGACTTCCTAGGCTTAAGTGATCTTCCTGCCTCAGCCTCCTGAATAGCTGGGACTATGGGCATGCACTACCACACTTGGTTAATTTTTGTATTTTTGGTAGAGACAGAGTTTTGCAGTGTTGCCCAGCCTGGCCTGGGCTCAAGCAATCCACCTGCCTTGGCCTCCCATAGTGCTTGGATTAAAGGTGTGGGCCACCGTGCCCAGTGATGAGTGTTTTAAAGCGACCCTTTTGCTGTTGAGTAGAATCAAGAGAGGGTGTGTTAGAGTTGAGGAACATCAGTTTAATTCTAATTAAACACCTGTGAAGAGACCTTCATTTAAATGAGAATGTCAGTACTTTAGAATGAAAAATACCTGTTATTTGAATTGGATATTTGGGTTGACTGGTAGATTGTTATTTTATTTCAAGATCCTCAATACTTTTTGAAGGCTCCTCAGATGATTATCATAATGCATCCAGGGGTTGAGAACTACTGCTTTGGCTTAGGGAAAGAGGGACGGATTGGGGTAGAGGGTGTAAACTTGAGAGGAGGTAGTGAGTGAAAAGTTTTGGAGAGTTTGGAAAGTGTAACCATTGTTTATATCTTCTTTTTGTAATTCCACTTTCATATTCATATGTTCAAATGCCTAGATATTTTTGATGATATGAATTTAGTAACATTAAAGTTCCCACTTACCCAGCCTCTTTTTTTCCAGTCTGTTCCTTTTCATAAGAAGAGGAGGAGAATAGTGGATAGGGGTGACTCCTAATTTGATAAAAATTTGCTAGCATTAATTTAAAAATAGCATCCCCCCCCCACCACTTCTTCCTTTTTCTTCTTCTTCTTCTTTTTTTTTTTTTTTTTAAGACACGGGCCTCATTCCATTGCCCAGGCTGGAGTGTAATGGTGTGATTATTGCTTGCTGCAGTCTTGAACTCCTTGAGCTCAAGCTATCCTCTGGCATCAGCCTACGTAGTAGCTGGGACTACAGGCTGCACCACCATACCTGGCTAATTTTTGAACATTTTTTTAGAGATGGGGATCTCACTATGTTGCCCAGGCTGGTCTGAAACTCCTGGCCTGAAGCAGTCCTCCTGCCTCTGACTTCCAGAGTAACTGGGATTACCAATTTGAGCCACCATACTCATCTCCCCTCCTCCCTTTTTTTTTTTTTTTGTTGCAGAGACTGGGGTTTTGCTCTGTTGCCCAAGTTGGAGTGCTGTGTCTATTCATAGGTGTGATCATAGTGCCCTACAACCTTAAGGGATCCTCCCACCTCAGCCCCTTGAGTAGCTAGAACCAGAGGTGTGCCCAGCTTTCTTTAAAAACTATTAAAACTGGCCTGGTGCGAGTTTTACATCACACCTGTAATGCCAGCACTTCAGGAGGCCAAGGTGGATGGATCACGAGGTCAGGAGATAGAGACCATCATGGCCAACATGGTGAAACCCTGTGGCTACTAAAAAAACAAAAAATAAATAGCTGAGCATGGTGACGCATTCCTGTAGTCCCAGCTACTCAGGAGGCTGAGGCAGGAGAATTGCTTGAAAACAAAAGACGTAGAAATACGTGTAGCTTGCTTGCTTGCTTGCTTGCTTTTTCTTTCTCTCTCTCTCCCTCCCTCCCTCTCTCTCTCTCTCTTTCTTTCTCTTTCTCTCTCTCTCCCTCCCTCCTCTCTCTCTCTCTTTCTTTTCTTTCTCTTTCTTTCTTTTCTTTCTCTTTCTTTCTTTCTTTTCTTTGAGACAGAGTTTCTGTCGCCCAGGCTACAGTATAGTGGCACAACCTTGGCTCACTGCAACCTCTGCCTCCTGGGTTCAAGTGATTCCCCTGCCTCAGTCTCCTGTGTAGCTGGGATTACAGGCACCCGCCACCACACCTGGCTAATGTTTTTGCAGTTTTAGTAGAGACAGCATTTCGCCATGTTGGCCAGGCTGGTCTCAAACTCCTGACCTCAGGTGATCCTCCTACGTGTGCCTCCCAAAGTGCTGGGATTACAAGCGTGAGCCACCGTGCCCAGCCGAACATGTAGCTTTTTTTTGAGCCACCGTGCCCAGCCGAACATGTAGCTTTTTTTTTCTTGCTGTAGGATATTTATGTTTTATTGATATCAAATTGTATCTTTACATTTCTTTTAAGAAGGAAACAAATTTATTAGAATGAGAAACTTATAATGGGGTGAAATGAATAAAATAACTAAAACTTATCATGGAAGTACTTTTTTGTTTTTTAGATTACAATCTATAATCCTGATCATTAATTTGTTGAGACGAGGTGTTGGTTACAGCTTAAAATTCTTTTCTTTTTGTGAGTTAACTGGAGACAGTAGAGAAGTTTGTAGGAGTTTTGGGTGGAGAGCACAGTAGTTATAACAATTATATTGCTGGGATTTAAGCCAATACAGTTTAGGTCTAATGCTTGGTGAATGACTCTGTTGAAGGTCATGCCTTAAATATTAAAGTGCCTTTTTTTTTCTTTTCTATTCATAGTGGTAGTCGCTCTTCTAAAACTTTTAAACCAAAGAAGAACATTCCGGAGGGTTCTCACCAGTATGAGCTCTTAAAACATGCAGAAGCCACACTTGGCAGTGGCAACCTCCGGATGGCTGTCATGCTTCCTGAGGGGGAAGATCTAAATGAATGGGTTGCAGTTAACAGTAAGTAGCCTTTCTATTTCTCAGTAGACTATGAATTAGGGTAATAGCCTTGTTGTTGGTGAGTGTTGGCGCTATCCATTCTAGGATTTAGTTAGCAAGCTAATATCATAAAAGAGTGATATCTCAATCTAACTTTAACCTTCTTGTTACTTTATTTGCTTTATTATTATTTTTTGAGACGTGGTCTCAGTCACACAGGCTGGTAGGCTGGAGTACAGTGGTACAGTTACGGCTTACTGCAGCCTTGACCTCCCTGGCTAGGGCAGTCCTCTCACCTCAGCCTCCAGCGTAGCTTGGGACTACAGGCATACACCACCATGCCTGGCTCATTTAAAAACATTTTTTAGTAGAGATGGGGGTCTCAGTATGTTGTGCAGGGTGGTCTTGAATTCCTGACCTCAAGTGATCCTTTTGCCTCAGCCTTCCACAGTGCTAGGATTACAGGCATAAGTCACCATACCCAGTCCTTGTTATTGTATTTCTGAATATGGAGTTTTGTTAAATCTTGTTTCCTATTTTAATACAAAGCATAGATTTATTATTTTCATTACAACAATGATGATAATTTTTGTCAAACACTAATTGTATAGACATGCCACTCTCCTTTCCTTTTTTTTTTTTCTTTTTTTTTGAGACGGAGTTTCGCTCTTGTTACCCAGGCTGGAGTGCAATGGCGCGATCTCAGCTCACCGCAACCTCCGCCTCCTGGGTTCAGGCAATTCTCCTGCCTCAGCCTCCTGAGTAGCTGGGACTACAGACACGCGCCACCATGCCCAGCTAATTTTTTGTAGTTTTTTAGTAGAGATGGGGTTTCACCATGTTGACCAGGATGGTCTCGATCTCTTGACCTTGTGATCCACCCGCCTCGGCCTCCCAAAGTGCTGGGATTACAGGCTTGAGCCACCGCGCCTGGCCCGCCACTCTCCTTTTTATGTGATTTTATTTTATCTTTATACACTTATGATGTAGGTATGATTATTATTTCATTTAATAGATTAAGCTGAGACAATTAGTAACTTGCTTAGGTTGTACAGCTATTAAATGGCAAAGCCTGGGCTCAAATATACAGCTATAGAATTTCAGAGTCTATTGAGTTAACAACCACTGTGCTAAATTGTCTTTCTCAGTGCTATACTCAGTAATTTGTCTAATTGTGCTTATTTTTTATTTTGATTTATTTATTTAGTTTTTAGATGGAGTTTTACTTTGTTGCCCCTGCTGGAGTGCAGTGGCATGATTTTGGCTCACTACAACCCCTGTTTCTTGGGTTCAAGGGATTCTTCTGCCTCAGGCTCCTGAGTAGCTGGGATCACAGGCACGTACCACCACGCCCAGCTAATTTTTGTATTTTTGGTAGAGATGGGGTTTCACCATGTTGGTCAGACTGGCTTCGAACTCCTGACCTTGTGATCCTCCTGCCTCAGCCCCCCAAAGTGCTGGGATTACAGGTATGAGCCACTGTACCCTGCCAATTGTGCTTATTTTTTTTTCAAAAGACATCAAGTAGTAATCTTATGAAGTTAGTAAAATATGTTTATGAGATCTTCTTAACTCCTACAGAGACTAACATAGGAATAGTAAATATATTCTTGGGAATTAAGCCAGAGAAAGTTGAGGAATAAAAGGTTCAGGGTGTTTCAGCATTAGTAAAAAAAATAATAATAATAATAATAATAATAAGAGAATTTTATAATTGAAGGAAATTTATTTGAATTTAGTAAAAATAAAATGAAAGCTAATTGAAAGCATACACAAAATGTCTAGGCTTTAAGAAAAAAGCAAAACAGTATTTTTCTTATATTTAATGGCCTCTTATTATAATTCGAACTATGTCAAGGGATGTATAAATTGAGCTGCCCCCCTCTAATACCTTTTAGGAACCAGAGGATTTTATTATGATATCTTAAAACTTACTGTGACAGCATTTACACAAGAGCCATATTATTATTATGTGATTATCCGCCTGAACCAAGAGAGGCTAGTTATTTGAAATAAAGTGATTTGTTTGCTTTATTGATGAGGCCAGTCATATTTCTAAGATAGTTCTGTGTCATCTCCAAGATTTATATCAGAATAAATTTCCAATATGTGTATATTCTTTTTGTACTTGTTTGTGCCTTTTTGTAAAATTTATTTGAGAGTTAATTTACTAATGTTTAAAATGTAAGCATGGCTGTATACAGCTTCTATAATTCTGTCTTCTCAGTTGCCACAACTGAGTGTCTGTACCTCCCTTATCTGCTAGGGATACATTCCAAGATGACCAGTGGATTCCTAAAACCAGTGATAGTACTGAACCTTATATACACTGTGTTTTTTTCTATATACTACATACCTATGATAAACCTTAATTTATAAATTAAGTACAGCAAGAGATTAACAACTATTAATAAAATAGAACAATTATAATTATACTGTAGTAAAAGTTATGTGAATATAATCGCTACCTTTCAAAATAATCTTATTATGGTTTACTCACCCTTCTTGTGATGTTTCACTCTGATAACCAAGATGGCTACTGTAAGTGATTAATGGGTAGGTATACATCATGGATATGCTAGACTGAGGGTTGATTCACATCCCAGGTAGACGGAGTGAGATGGTGTGAAATTTCGTCACATTACTCAGAATGGCACACAATTTAAAATTTATATATTGTTTATTTCTGAAATTTTCCATTTGATATTTTTAGATCATGGTTGATCACAGAAAGCTGAAACCATGGATAGTGAACCCACAGTTAAGGAGGGACTACTTTAGTACTGTAATGCCTAGAACTTTGAGAACCTTTAAAATTTCATAGTAATTCTATAATTTTACTACAGCTGGACAAAGATTGCTTTGGACTGAAGCATTAGAACATCTGCTTAAGACATATTCTGCTTTGAAAAATACAGCATTTAACTGAAGTGTTGGACTGTAACACTGCACTCCAGCCTGGGTGACAGAGCAAGACTCTGTCTCCAACAAAAAAAGAGAAATAAAATTTAAAATTCTGCTCTGGGAAAGACATTGTAAAGAAAATAAAAAATGAAGCCACTGACTAGCAGAAAATCTTTGCAGACCACATACATGTTAAAGGACTTGTATCCAAAATATAAAAAGAGCTCTTAAATTCAACAATAAGGGCTATGCAGGGCAACATAGCAAGACCCTGCCTCTAAGAAAAGAATGAGCTAGCCGGAGATATACATACCTGTAGCCATAGCTACTTGGGAGGCTGAGGTGAGAGGAATACTGGGAGTTTGAGGCTACAGCGTACCATGATCATACCATTGCACTCTAGCCTGAGCAGCAGAGTGAGACCCTGTCTCTAAAAAAATGAAATAAAATAAATTTAATAAAAACATAAGGAGAGAAAAAGAATCATACGATGAGTAGGATAAATAGCAAATAGTAAGATATTAATAGTAAATTGAAATCCATATGTTAATAATAATTGTATTAAATGTAAAGGTCAAAATGGTCCAACACAAAAGTTGGTTGTCCGGGCATGGCGGCTCATGCTTGTAAACTCTGCACTTTGGGAGGCTATGGTGAGATGATCACTTGAGCCCAGGAGTTTGAGACCATTGTGGACAACATGGCAAATCTCCATCGTTACCAAAAACAGAAAAGTTAGCCAGGCATGGTGGTGCACACCTGTGGTCCAGGCTGCTTGAGAGACTGAAGTGGGAAGATCTCTTGAGTCCAGAAGGTGAATGCTACAGTGAGTTGTGATTGCACCACTGCACTCTAGCCTGGGCGACAGAGCAAGACCCTGTCTTAAACAGAAAACAAAGAACAAAAAACCTCGATTATGTCAAGATGACAACAAAGCAAAACAAATCTGAATGCTGCAATATATACTATAAACATACAGATATAGAATGGTTGAAATTAAAGTTAAACACTAATCCAAAGAATGTCAGTAGTCATGTTGTATCAGATAAAGTAGACATTGAGGCAAAAAGCAATGAAAAAGGACATTTTAAAATGATAAACGTTTCAATTCCCAAATAATATATAAAATTCTGAATGTATATGTTTCTATTAACATCTCAAAAACTTATTAGTATTAATTGACTCAACTAAAAGGAGAAGTAGACAAATCCATGGTCACAATGGGAGATTTTAACATTCCTCTTTCAGTAACAGAAAATGTAGAAGAAAAAATCAATAACGAATTAGAAAAATTTGAACAACATGATTAACAGACTTGACCTAGGAACACATGACCTAGGCACCTAAGAGTATATATATGTATATATGTACATTTTCAAAAATTGACACCAATACTTTCTCTAACCACAGTGGAATCTAGCTAGAAAGCAGTAACGAACAGAAATCTGTATATGTTTGGAAAAAGTACATCTCAATGGAAATTAGAAAATATTTTAAATTGAAATTTGGTGATGAAAATACTATGTATGGAAACTTGTGGGATATGGCTGAAGCTGTGTTAGAGGAAATGTAGAGCCTTACATACATACATATATTAGAAAAGAAAAAATATTAAAGGTTAATGAACTAAGCATCAATCTCTAGAGGGTGGGAAAACAACAGCAAATTAAATGCAAAGAAAGTTAAAAGAGGTGAGGCCAGTGGTGGCTCATGCTTGTAATCCCAGCACTTTGGGAGGCTGAGATGGGTGGATCACAAGGTCAGGAGTTGAAGACCAGCCTGGCCAACATGGTGAAACCCTGTCTCTACTGAAAATACAAAAATTAGCTGGGCGTGATGGCACACACCTGTAGCCGCAGCTACTCGGGTGGCTGAGGCAGGAGAATTGCGTGAACCCAGGAGGTGGAGGTTGCAGTGAGCTGAGATTGCGCTATTGCACTCCAGCCTAGGCAACAAGAGTGAAACTCCATCTCAAAAAAAAAAATGTTAAAAGAGGTTATCAGTAAAGAGCAGAAATTAATAAAATAAAAAAGAAACATACAATAAAGAGAATCGAGTGGGGTGCAGTGGCTCACTCCAGTAATCCCAGCACTTTGGGAGGCCGAGGTGGGAGAATACTTGAGGTCAGGAGTTCAAGATCAGCCTGGCCAACATGGTGAAACCCCGTCTCTACTAATAATACAGAAATTAGCTGGGTGTGGCGGCAGGTCGCTGTAATCTACATACTTGGGAGGCTGAGGCAGAAGAATTGCTTGAATCTGGGAGGTGGAGGTTGCAGTGACCTGAGATTGCACCACTGCACTCCAGCCTAGGTGACAGAGCAAGACTCCATCTCAAAAAAAAGGTGGTTCTTTGAAAAGTCTAAAAATTTATAACTCCTGGTAAGATTGATCAAGAAAATAAATTTTAATATTTATAAAATATATTATTTTAAAAATATTAGTTATTTAAAATAATATTAGAAAGCACAAATAATCAATATCAGGGATAAAAAAGCAAATACACACCAGATCTTACATAGCATTAAAAGTTCTAAGAGAATGTTGTGAACAAGTTATAAATTTATCCTAATGAATTTGAAAGTTTAATTGAAATAGCCAAATTCTTATAAAATTCAGCTTATCAAAGTTAACACTAAAATAAAAAAATTTGAATAGTCTTATAACTTAAAAAAATTATATCTATTTAAAAACCTTGGCACAGTATATTTCCATGAAACATATAAGGAAGAAATAATGCCAGCCTTTGGGTCTTACAGAGAATGGAAAAAATTCAAGTTTTTATGAATTCTGCATGAACATTACAAGAAAGGAAACTAGGTCATCTAACTTTTGAAATTAACCTAGATGTAAAATTCCTAATAAAAATATTTAGTGAATTGAATCTAGTAACATTTTAAGTGTTTATAATACATTATGACCAAGCTGAGTGTATTCCAGGAATGCAAAGGTTAATTTAACATTTGAGGGGGCCTCATGTTGTGACTCATGCCTGTAATCCCAGTGTTTTGGGAGGCTACGGTGGAAGGATTGCTTGAAGCCAGGTGGTTGAGATCAGCCTAGGCAATATACTGAGTCCCACTATTTATAAAAAATTTTAAAAGTTAGCCAGGTATGGTGTTGCTTGCCGATAGTCCTAATTACTCAGGGAGGTCCAGGTGAGAGGATTGCTTGAACTCAGGAGTTTGAGGCTACATTGAGCTCTGATCATAGGACTGCACCCCAAGCCTGGGCAACAAAGTGAGATCTTAACTTTAAAAAAAAAAAAAAATTAGAAAAAAAAAATAAATTTGTCATTGTGATTCACTGCATTAGCCAATCAAGGAGAAAAATCATATCACAACAAAATGTGCAGAAAACCATTTGATAAAATTCAAAATCAATTCATAATAAAAAGGTTATCAAGTAATAGATAAGAACTTCCTTCTGATAAAGCATATTTATTTGCAGAATAATTATACCATTATAATAGTAAATGTTGAATTTTTTTCTTAATCTACGAAAGAGTCAAGGATATCCATTACTAGTATTTTACTGGAGTCTTTATTTACTTTTTATACAGAGTCTCGCTCTGTCGCCCAGGCTGGAGTGCAGTGGCACAATCTGGGCTCATAGCAATTTCTGCCTCCTGAGTTCAAGTAGTTTTCCTGTCTCAGCCTTCCATGTAGCTGGGACTACAGGCATACCTCTGCCATGCCCGGCTCATTTTTTGTATTTTAGTAGAGACAGGGTTTCACCATATTATTTAGGCTGGTCTCAAACTCCTGACCTCAGATGATCTGCCTGAATTGGCTTCCCAAAGTGCTGGGACTACAGTCATGAGCCACCACGTCCGGCCAGTTACTGGAGTCTTAACCAAGTCATTAAGGCAAGAAAAAGATAACAAAATATACTGACTAGAAAGGAAGAAAGAATTATTTTTTTTATTCATAGCCAATAAAAGTAAATATGCTGATTGGTCTGAAAATGCCTTTTTGGAAAAGAAAATGTGTTGAAAATCTAAAAGACTGTGATTATTATTACTACACCATGATTATTATTACTAATAGATGAATTTAATGAGGTTGTTAGCTCTAGGGTCAATGTAAAATTATGAATATCTCATTACCAGAAAATGGAGTCCAAAAAAAAAAAATGAACAAAAGGAAAAAATATATAGCATCAAAAATATTAACCTAGGAACAAATCTAGTGAAACATGGAAACTATTCCTTAATGATTAGTGCTTTTTATCATCCTCTTTTTTTTTTTAAATTAAATTTTTATTTTTTGAGGTTTTGCCCTGTCATCCAGGTTGGAGTGCAGTGGCACAATCATGGCTCACTGTAACCTTGAACTTCCCTGGCTCAAGCAATCCTCCCACCTTAGCCTCCTGGAGTCTTCTAGAGTGCTGGGATTACATGTGTGACGACCATGCCCAGCTACTTTATTTATTATTTAATTTTTTGTAGTGATGAGGTTTTACTGTGTTGTCCAGGGTGATCTCAAACTCCTGGGCTCAAGTGATCCTCCCAAGGCCTTGGTCTCCCCAAGTGCTGGGATTACAGGCGTGAACCACTATGGAGAGCTTATGTTCTTTTTAAGAAATTTATAAATGCCAAAGGTCATGAATATGTTCTTTTAAACTTAATTGTCTTTTCACTTTTTTTTTTTTTTTTTTTTTTTTAGAGGTACAGTCTACTTGAAATTGCTTTTTGGGTATGACATGAGTTAAGAGTCAAATTTTATTTTATTTTATTTTTTTGAGACAAGGTCTCATTCTTTGGTCCCAGGCTAGATAGAGTACAGTGGTGAGATTGTAGCTCACTATACCCTCGAATTGCTCAAGCATTTCTCCTGTTTCAGCCTTCTGAGGAGTGTGGCTGGGACTGCAGGAGAGCACCACCATACTTGACTAATGTTTAAAATATTTTTTGCAGAGATGGGATCTTGCTGTATTCCTCAGGCTGGTCTTGAACTCCTGGCCTCAAGACATTCTCGCCTCAGCCCCCCAAAGTGCTTAGGATTATAGGCATGAGCCAACTGTCCCTGGCCAGGTTTTATTTTTTTCCCATAGCAATAACCAGTTGACTCAGAAATATTTATGAAAAGACTGTCCTTTGCTTATTCTGCAAGGATGGCTATGTATTAATCAAATGTTTCATCTATGTTTGCATCTTTTTCTGTAATGTAGTAATTGCTCATGTCTCTTTTCTATTCCATTGGTCTACTAAAACCATACTCTTTTATTCATTGTGCTTTATCCGTCTTTTTTTTTTTTGAGATGGGGTCTTGCTCTTGTTGCCCAGGCTGGAGTGTAATGGCACGATCTTGGCTCACTGCAACCTCCGCCTCCCGGGCTCAAGAGATTCTCCTGCCTCAGCCTCCTGAGTAGTTGGGACTACAGGCACCTGCCACCACTCCCAGCTAATTTTTGTGTTTTTGGTAGAGATGGGTTTCACTGTGTTGGCCAGGCTGCTCTGGAACTCTTGACCTCATGATCCGCCTGCCTTGGCCTCCCAAAGTACTGGGATTACAGGTGTGAGCCACGGCACATGGCCTGTGCTTTATAAATCTTAATACTTAACCTTTGTTTTTGTTTTGAGACATGGTGTCATTCTGTCGCCCAGGCTGGAGTGTAGTAATGTGATCATGGCTCACTGCAGCCTGACTTCCTAGGTTCAAGGAGTCCTCTCACCTCAGCCTGCTGTGCAGCTGGAACCACAGGCATACACCACCATGCCCAGCTAAGTTTACTTTCATTTTTAGGTGGAGACGAGGTCTCAGTATGTTGCTCAGGCTGATCGTGAACTCCTGTGCTTAAGCGATTCTCCAGCTTTGGCCTGTGAGTGTGTTGGGATTATAGGTGTGACACGTTGTGCCCAGCCTGGTTCTTTTTTAAGAATGTGTTGGATATCCTTCCTTGTTGCATTTTCAAATAAATTTTAGCCTTTTTAGGGCCTATGGAATGGCATTCTGCCATCATTTAAATTTGTAGTTCCATGATTACTGACATCTTTTCATAAGATATTTGACCACTTGGAAACTTCTTTTGTGAAGTGACAGTTCAAAACTGTCATGTTTTTCAGCTGTGTTGTCTTTTCTTACTGATCTATATGAGTATTTTATATATTCTAGATATAAGATTTTTGTTGTTTAGATGTGTTGTAAATAATTTCTTCCTCTCTGTGCTTGCCTTTTTGCTCTCACAAGGTCCTCATATCAATGTATTGAGACTTCTGTGTATGCTTTTCACCTGTTCTTTGTTGGGGAAAAAACACTGATAAGCCTATTCTGTTTGAGCACAATTAAAATTTCATTTTAAATTTAGCCATTCTGTTTTACTTAGAACTGATATTTGCTTTACAGCTGTGGATTTCTTCAATCAGATCAACATGCTTTATGGAACCATCACAGACTTCTGTACAGAAGAGAGTTGTCCAGTGATGTCAGCTGGCCCAAAGTAAGACATGGGTGATGATCAGTTCTCATTTTTATATTAGTTTATGGTTCTTGGAGAAGAACAATATTTCTGACCATGTGATTTCTCTACTTAGCATATCTTTTTGAGGTTTGCCAGTGACTATTAATCTAGATTCCTTAGCTTGGGCTTTGTGACCCTCCGTTCTGCCTTTCCTGTGTTTGCTTATGTGTCTTCTCTGGTCTATCCTAACTAGGTTACTGGAAATTCTTTGCTGTCCCCTCCATTACTTACACCTTCTGGAAGCTCACTTATTCTTTTCTTTTCTTGGATATTTTTCTTTTCTCCCATTTCACTCCTGTCATTTTCTGTCAATATTTCAAAAAAACTCACTGATCTTAAAGTTTATTATCAAATGCTTCTCTGTCAGAACCTTCTGATTTCATCAGACTGTTAAACTTTTTTACCTTTATAATAATGTTTCGTTGTTATATTTCTTATGCTGTTCATACATACTTTATTTAACTTGTTAGATTTGTTCTTTTAATTCCCTTTTGGCGCAAGGACAGAGCTCGCTACCTTGTTTTAAAGCCCAGAAAACGTGGGTTGAATCAGTACATTTTGGAAACTGGGTTTTATTATTACTACTACTAATAATAGCAATGGCAGTTACCATTTATTTAGTGGTACCTAAATGTAAGGCCTTTCATAGATATCTTTTACATCGTATGTCAGCATTCATCATAAAAATATTGCTCTATGCATTGCATAGACTCATTTTTAGTCAGATGATCAAAGAGCCCATCGTATGTCAGCATTCATCATAAAAATATTGCTCTATGCATTGCATAGACTCATTTTTAGTCAGATGATCAAAGAGCCCATAACAGAGGTATAATATTGTAGCTCAGGAAAGATATGGAGATACCATATGAGGGGGTCAAAGTTGGCAGTTCTCAGTAAAGAGAAAGGAAGACCACACGAGGAAAGGCACAAAGCTGCGTTTGAACCACTGTCTAGCCCATAGAGATGAGTATAGCTGCAGAGCTATTCAAAATCTAGTGTCTGTCAATTCCCTTCCTCCATTTAGACTTCTTCGTGCAGAAGTATGTTTGTGGTTTTTACCCCTCACGGGGCTGTTTACTTTGGAGAAACGTCTTCTGTGGACTTTGTGTGGGGTTTATAGTTGCAGGTGCGTCTTTTGTTCTCTCCTCATCCTGTTTGAATTTGTATGAATTAAGTTGCACTCCCCAACTCCCCTTTTTGAAAAGTCTAGTCAAGATAGCCCTTTTAAAAAATAATGTGGTTTAGGCTAGGCATGGTAGCTCACACCTGTAATCCCAGCAGTTTGGGAGGCTGAGGCTGGTAGATCGTTGCCTGAGGTCAGGAGGTTGAGAGCAGCCTGGGCAACATGGTGAATCTTGTCTCTACTAAAAATACAAAAAATTAGCTAAGCGTGGTGGTGTGCACCTATAATCCCAGCTACTCAGGAGACTGAGACATGAGAATCACTTGAACCTGGGAGGTGGAGGTTGCAGTGAGCTGGGATTGTGCCACTGCACTCCAGCCTGGGTAACAGAGTGAGACTATCTCAAAAAAAAAAAAAAAAAAATGTGGTTTAAAGACATAGGTGTCTCCTAGTTTTATCCTCAACGGTAGAGTGTGAATTTCTGTTACTTGTTATTTTGGAAGATTTCTTAGAGGAATGGGGGCATTTAGAAATGAAATAAGTCCCCTTTTAGTATTACTTAATTCTTGTCAGTATTACTGGTATTCACTTTGGTTAAGTTTCACTTGTGAAATAGATGTTTTTAATTTTTCTAGTGTATGGTTAGTTATGCCTTGAGAAGTTAAATAGCACTGCCTTCTAAGAAAGCCAGTTCTCCTGGCCTGAGAGCTCTTTGCCTCTACTGTTGTACGCATGTGTGCGTGCATGATGTTAAAGGTGTGTGGTCTCCTCCCTTCCCTGCCTGCCTGCCTCCCTCTCTTTCTCTTCTTTCTTTCTTGTTTTTCTTCCTTTCTCCCTCTTTCTCTTTCTTCTTTCTCTGCATTCCTTTTCTTCTTCCTTCTCTTTTCTTTCCTCTCTCCCTCCCTGTCTCTCTTTTTTGGAGAATCTTGACATTTCCTAGTTATTAGTGCTAACAGCATGTAGTTGTCATGGTTCTTCATCTTTAACAGCAGATGCAGGATGTTAATATTCAACAAATGCTAAGCCCCTTTTAAAGTGGTATTAAATGGGGCCGGGCGCGGTGGCTCAAGCCTGTAATCCCAGCACTTTGGGAGGCAGAGGCGGGTGGATCACGAGGTCAAGAGATCGAGACCATCCTGGTCAGCACGGTGAAACCCCGTCTCTACTAAAAATACAAAAAATTAGCTGGGCATGGTGGTGCGTGCCTGTAATCCCAGCTACTCAGGAGGCTGAGGCAGGAGAATTGCCTGAACCCAGGAGACGGAGGGTGCGGTGAGCCGAGATCGCGCCATTGCACTCCAGCCTGGGTAACAAGAGCGAAACACCGTCTCAAAAAAAAAAAAAAAAAAAAAAAAAAAAAAGTGGTATTAAATGATGGCTCATAGAACTTTGTTCTCAGTTACTGTTTTTATTTTTTTATTTTTTTGAGACAGTCTCACTCTGTCACCCAAGCTGGTATGCAATGGTGCGATCTTGGCTTACTGTAACCTCTGCATCCTAGGTTCAAGAGATCTTCCTGCCTCAGCCTCTCAAGTAGCTGGGATTAAAGGTGCGCACCACCACGTCCAGCTATTTTTGTATTTTTAGTATAGACGGGGTTTCATCATGTTGGCCAGGTTGGTCTCAAACTTCTGACCTCAAGTGATCTGCCCTCCTCAGCCCCTCAAAGTGCTGGAATTACAAGAGCGAGTCACTGCGCCTGGCCCTTACTTACTGTTTTTTATTATTATTAAAAAAGAAATTGTGAATTGGAGTTTGCAGTTTACAAGTTCATGCTGTGATGGCAGAAATAAATTTCAAAGAGAATAGTCTGTCAGAGGTGGAATGAGAAAGACAATGAGGCAACATAGAGCTACAGAATGAAGGAAGTCATCCTAAGTATAAATATGACAAAAGAAAAAGAAGAGATTAGGGAGTCATAGTTTTAAACTCTAAAGGTCTAAGCAACATACAATTATTTTTCAAAAAGCCTTAGGATATTGAAAGTTGATATTTTTTAAAAACACTTCAGGATATTGAAAATGATTCTTTGGTTTACTTTGCCTGTTTTTGATTTTTACATTTAAAAATGAATGTGAAACATCTGAAAATGATTGACAAGATGAAAAACATGATGGTGAGGGAAGGTTAAAAATGTTAAGGTTTCTTAACATAAAGTAGTAAACATGGTTGTGTCCCTGTCTCTTAAGAATAATTATGGGCCAGGCATGGTGGCTCTTACCTGTAATCTCGGCACTTTGGGAGGCCAAGGTGGGAGGATTGCTTGAACCCAGGAGTTCAAGGGTGCAGTGAGCTATGCTTGTGCCACTGTACTTAAGCCTAAGCTACACAGCAAGACCCTGTCTTAAAAAAAGAAAAAAGGCAGGCCGGGCGCGGTGGCTCAAGCCTGTAATCCCAGCACTTTGGGAGGCCGAGGTGGGTGGATCACGAGGTCAAGAGATCGAGACCATCCTGGTCAACATGGTGAAACCCCGTCTCTACTAAAACTACAAAAAATTAGCTGGGCATGGTGGCACGTGCCTGTAATCCCAGCTACTCAGGAGGCTGAGGCAGGAGAATTGCCTGAACCCAGGAGGCGGAGGTTGCGGTGAGCCGAGATCGCGCCATTGCACTCCAGCCTGGGTAACAAGAGCGAAACTCCGTCTCTAAAAAAAAAAAAAAAAAAAAAAAAAAGGCAAAATGATGTCTAGAATGTCACAATTCATGGTCTCTGTCTTCTAAGAGTAGCAAACAAGGAGATAAGATAGGCTTAAATTACACTAAAAACGTTAATGTTATATTAGAAAGAATCTTTTGACTGTGAAAGTGATTAAACAGTTAAAACAGGATATGAAGAGGTGTTGGAAAGTATCTCCTTGTAGACCTTCAAAATGGGACTTGATAGTCATCCCTATTGTCCCACTTTGGCAGAAAAATTTTCTACAGAATGTTTAATTCAGGTGTATCTTGTTTAATATTATTGTTCAGGTGTAAGTAGTTCTGATTAAATAGAAAGGCACCCTCGTTTATCCTATCTGAAGATAATTTTTATTGTTTAAAATACCCTGTAATATTTTTCTGTTATATATTGCCATCTCTTTTCCCAGTCTCACTGACCTATTATTTAGCCCAAACTCTGGGCACAGGGTTAGAAAAACACAATTGAATCAAAGGGAGAAGTTACGCAGCAAAAGTAACCTTTTGGAAACTAAAATACTAAATCCTAGGTCAGCTTAGAGACTTTCCCACTTTGGAGTTTCACCTGTATGCATGCATCTTTCTTATCTCAAAATTCAGTGTGTGTGTATGTGTGTGTAACTCTTTTAGGGTTCTTTTATTTATTTATTTTTGAGATGCAGTCTCGCTCTGTTGCTCAGGCTGGAGTGCAGTTGCACCATTTTGGCTCACTGCAAGCTCTCCCTCCCGGGTTCAGCAATTTCCAGCTAATTTTTGTATTTTTAGTAGAGATGGGGTTTCACCATGTTGGCCAGGCTGGTCTTGAGCTCTTGACCTCAAGTGATCTACCTACCTCAGTTTCCTGAAGTGCTAGGATTACAAGCATGAGCCACCATGCTCAGCCTCTTTTAGGGTTCTTATCATACAGTTTTTACGTCTTCACTTTTGAGTCTGTCTTTTCTACTAGTCTGTTTTCCTTGAGAGTAGGGAAAGTGCTTTCATTTTAGTGTTTCTTGTTCTTGACTTAGTCTGTTTCACATGGAAGGTACATATTAGATGTTTATTGAATCAAAGGATGGTGTTCTGCTAATATTGAAAGCCTTTATTTGGGTTGCAGATTTTCTTTGGACCTTCTTTAAAGACATGTTTAGCCCTTCAGCTAAATGTACTCAAATATTAAATCATTCTCATTTTCATTAATTTTATTTTAGTACTTCTGTGTCATTTTCTATCCTTAACGGAAAATTTAAAGCCCCAAGTTAAAAAGAATTGTACTGCATAAGGAGAAGTGGTTTTTAAAAGGAAGAAAAACAACCATAAAGTCCAAAAGTGGTCATCATAGAACTAGGAAGTAAGCTAATTTTTCTACTTACAATAGTGTATGATTCTAAAATATAAATGCTATTTATGAGAGCTATGTAAAAAAATTCAGACCTGAGGAGAGTATAGAAACACAAAACATGAGTTTGCTGGGATCTACTTAGCTTGGATTGTGATAAATGCAAAGTAGTCCACTGGCAATTTAAAAATATATCTTTATTTGGAGGAGCAGAGTATTGAAAACATGTCTGTGTGTACATTAGTAATATATATAAAATGTATACACTATGTATAAGTATATACTGATCTTCCGTGTGCTTTTTATCTCTCCAATGTAGATATGAGTATCATTGGGCAGATGGAACGAACATCAAGAAACCTATTAAGTGCTCTGCACCAAAGTATATTGATTACTTGATGACCTGGGTTCAGGACCAGTTGGATGATGAGACATTATTTCCATCAAAAATTGGTATAATTATTTTTGTAATTGGGATTCATCTTGATTTATCTTTTATATGTTTCTAGAATTTTCCTCCCTTTTTCCACTGTATCTAGTTGGAGAGTTCTTTAGGGCTGTGTTGATGTATGTGTATGTTACGCAGTTCCCAAGAAGAGGCACAAAAGTTTGTTAACCCAGTGGTAAAATAAACAAGTTATCCTGTGTGAATTGAGCTTTTCCCCTTTAACTTAGTGCTTTTAAATGCATAATTAGCTGAAAGGCTAGGTTTATTAGAAAATAAATGATCTCCCTCTCTTAAGGTAATTATTTTGTTAAGTTTTTGTTGATATTCTAGGTTACAATATCACTGAGTTTATTTTTAGACAATAGTTTTTTTTTAATACTTTAAAAAATAATTATGATCATCATTGAGAATAAACTTACTTCCCTGAAGTAAGAGGAAGGGCTTAAGAAGCCCTTTTGGTAGAAAGTTCTAGATAGAGGCTTATTACTATGCCAGAAATCATGCTAAATTGCTGTACCTAACACATATTTCTAATCTTATGCACTCAAAGTTGTTCTTTTTCACACCAAACTAATCATGAACATTAAGGTAAACCCTCTATTTTATTTTATTTATTTAATTTTTAAAAAATGTTTTGGGAGACAGTCTCACTCTATTGCCCAGGCTGGAGTGCAGTGACACGATCTTGGCTCACTGTAACCTCCACCTCCAAGGTTCAAGTGATTCTCCTGCCTCAACCTACCAAGTAACTGGGACTACAGGCCTGTACCACCACACCCAGCTAATGTTTTTGGATTTTTAGTAGAGATGGGGTTTCACCATGTTGGCCAGGCTGGTTTTGAACTCCTGACCTCAAGTGATCTGCCTGCCTTGGCCTCCCAAAGTGCTGGGATCCCTCTCTATAATTTTAAATGATGAGATCAGTATATCTGGGATAGTAACAATCTGGCTCATGTTATAGAAAAAAGAGAATGGATATTGAGTAGATAGCTAATAACATCTGCCACAGTCACATGTACTTATTTAGGGAAGTTCTTTTGGCTTCTATCCAGTGTTATACGGTAATATATTTGTCATCAAAAGGGAGTTTGAATTTATGACTTACAATATGAATCTTATGGATTCAGATATTAAGCTATGTGAGAAGAAAACAAGATTTGAGGGGTTGCCCTATTATTGGCTGAGTGACTTTTGTTTTTTTATATTTACTTTTAAGGGCAGACTGATCAGGTAGAAATTGTTCACATCTAGATGATCATATGTTTTTGCCGTCTCAAACTTCTTACAACGGATTATCTCAAAAAGAGAATTTGCTCTTCTCATGTTAGAACTTTTTGACATCTTATTTTTTTTTTTTTTTTTTTGGAAAAAATGTGAAGACACTATAAATAGTTGTTGTTATATGGAGTATTTTAAACATATTTATTGAATGCATTAACCACTTTGAACTTTCGTAATAAAAGAGCAAATTTTCAAGACCAAATTACTTATATATATATATCATAAGGGTTCGATGAGTGTCCCCACTTTATCTCTTATCTCTCATAATACAGTTTTTAAATTTTTATTTTGATCCAATTTCAAACTTTTAGAAAATTTGCAAGACTTATACAAGGAAGTGTGCAAAGAATCATACAAACCCTTCATCCAGATTGTTAATTGTTAACATCTTCCTCCTTCCCTTCCCTCTCCCCCAACCTCTCTCACACATACACATACATTCATTCATTCCTTTTCCTAAACTGTTTGAGAGTACGTTGCATATATGATGCCTTTAAAACTTGATTTTGTATTTCCTTAGAAAAATCACAGTACAGATATCAAGATTAGGAAATTTATACTGATGCTATGCTATTTTCCAATCTATAGATCTTATTTGGGCTTTTCAGATTTTCTTAATAATGTACTTTATAGCAAAGAAAATCTTTGCTATTTGTTTTCATTTATTTGTTGTCTCTTTAGCCTGCTTTGATTTGGAAATGTGCATTTTGGTCATTTTTGTTTTTTTATGATGTTGAAGAGTGCATATTATTTTATAGATTTTCCTTTCACTTTGGTTTGTCTTAAGTGTCTTTGTGAACTATAATTAAGCGAGCAGTAGCAATATGAGGGCAGTATGATGACATTGAACTCAGTAGTACCCATATTTGGCTGTTTTGTCAATCTGTATCATTTAGCATGTTTAACAGAGGATATGGGATTTTATACATTTTTAAAGATAAATTTTATTGTATATATTTAAGGCAGACAACATGATGATATGAGATTACACATAATAAAATGGTTATTATAGTGAAACAGATGACCATCTCCATCATCTTACATAGTTACCCATTTTTTCCCCCTTGGTAAGAGCAGCTATAATCTACTCATTTAGCAGAACTCTGAATACAGCATACTATTCTTTTTTTAAATTATCATTTTTTTTTGAGACAGGATCTCACTGTTGCCAGGGCTGAAGTTCAGTGGCACAGTCACAGCTCACTACAGCCTCAATCTCCCAGGCTCAAGCAGTCCTACTGCTTCAGCCTCCTAAGTAACTGGGGCCACAGGTATACACCACCATACCCAGCTAATTTCTAATATTTTGTAGAGGCAAGGTGCCACTATGTTGCCCATGCTGGTCTTGGAATTCCTGGCTCAAGTGATCCTCCCACCTTGTCCTCCCAAGTGTTGGGATTATAGGCATGAGTCACCGCCCAGCCTCACTACACTAAGTACACTATTTGTAACTATGGTCCTCATGTTGTACATTAGATCTTTAGGCTTGTTCATTCTGCACATCTGGTACTTTGTATCCTTTCATTTACCTTCACCTCTCTCCCTGGCGGCCACTGTTTTATTCTCTATGTCTGTATATTTGACTTAAAAAAAAAACCACATGTAAGTGAGGTCATGCAATATTTTTCTTTTTGTGTCTGGCTGGTTTCACTTAGTGTTGTAACCGAGTGAGCGTGAAATCACCAGAGACAAAGTCTAGGCCAACTTACAGGGCCTTTATTGCCAGTGGCCATAGAGGACTCACACCTCTCTAACCCGTGGCCTTGAAAGGAGGTTGTCAAGACCTTTTATGCCCGTAAACCACCTCCTGGGTGGGGGTGCGGGTGAGGGGCTTTGGACATTCCGAGGGCCAGGGGACTTTGGACATTCCGATTGTTACTTAAGTGGTTCACAGAAGTCAAGATAAGCATTAGTTTACACATTGTCTGGGTAGGGTGGAAATTAAAGTCCTTAGTTACTTATTACAAGTTTTAAAATGGTGCAGGGGCCAAAATGGCATTGGTTTGGACTGCTTGCCTGTCACATTAGGGTTACAGAGAGCAGTTTCAATGGAAAGCCGAGGTATAGTCGAGGTATGCAGTTTATGGGGCATTTACCATGTCACATTAGCATAATGTCCTCCAGATCCATCCATGTTGTGGCAGATTGCAAAATCTCCTCTTTTTGTGGCCGAATAATATTTCATTGTATATATATAGCACAGTTTTAAAAATCCATTCATCTGTTGATGGATACCTGGGTAGTTTCCATGTCCTGGCTGTTTTGAACAATGCTGCAGAGAACATAAGAGTGCAGATACCTTTATGACTGGGTTATTTCATTTCCTTTGGGTATATACCCAGAAGACAGACTGCTGGGTCATATGGTATTCTATTTTTAATTCTTTAGGAACCTCTGTGCTGTTTTCCATAGTGGCCATACCAAACAATGTTCCCACCAGCAGTATATGAGAGTTTCCTCTTCTCCATAGGGATTTTATATTTTTCGACTTTCATATTTCAGTACTGTAAAAGTGCTGTAATTCATAAATGAGTGGAATAGAGAATGTAGCTAATTTCAGGACAAATGTAGACCTGGAGTAGTAATGAAATAATTCCCATGGAAAAAAGTACAATATATACTGCAAGCATTTTAAACAAAACTGAACGTGGTTAATGTATTATTTCTGTTCAGCAGATATTTTTATTGAGACTTAAGAAATCTGATGATCTGAGTGTGAGTTTCAGCTCCACTACCATCTGGGGTGTGTATCTGTTTCATTTTAGTAATGTCGTATGTTAGAGACATAACAGGCTATAATGAAGACTGATTCTTATACCATAAAAACTTTGAAGTTTATTTTCATTCATGACATATTGAGAACTTCTGAAAAGGTATAATGGGTATATGTATAAATTAACAAATACTACTTCTTTTCAGCCTTGTCTTGGTAATTTATGTTGCCCTTTGCTGACAAACTCATGTTGTCTTGTTATCATCTCCTGTTGTTACAGGGAATTGTTTATCTCTTTTCTAGGTGTCCCGTTCCCAAAGAATTTCATGTCTGTGGCAAAAACTATACTCAAACGCCTCTTTAGGGTTTATGCTCACATTTATCATCAGCATTTTGACCCTGTGATCCAACTTCAGGAGGAAGCACATCTAAATACATCTTTCAAGCACTTTATTTTTTTTGTCCAGGTAAGTTGGATTACGAGGCCTTTTGTGCTCAGGGTAAGCATTTATCTTCATAGTTCTAAGGTGAATACTGCATCCACACTGTCAGGATGGAATTTGCCATATCTCTCTGGTCTGCATCCTCCTCTACGCTTTTCCATGATGACAAGGACTGGCTTTTTGTTTCTAAATTGTATTAGTCTCCAAGTTGATGGCATGCAGGTCTAAAGTGGATTTGAAAAGTTGTGCCTTGGATTTGCTTCAGTTAACAGGCCATATGGATGGGCTTGATAATGAATCTGACTAGTTTGGCAGATCTGTAGATAAACTGGGTCTCCTGGGCATTTTATTACTTCACCCACTCCAGTCTGCCCTGGATCTTTATTAGCAGACTCTGACCCAGGAATCATTTTGAATATCACTCATTTTTTGTCCTTCTTTTTAAAACCACATTCAAAATAATTTTTACGTTAAGGACTGTCTATCATGTCTGAGGAAAAAATATGTCACAAAGAATGTTTCTGTGCCAGAGGGCCATTAGTCTTTGGTTTGACTTGCTAGTTGACCTTCTCTTTTTATACTCTTCAGAAAACTGGCCTTAGAAATGTAGACTAGGAACAGTGACAGTATTCTCACCTTGCTCTAATAATAAGAGAAATAACAGGCAGAAATGAAAAAGATGTGGAAATAGACGAGCTGACCAGTTTTTTATTATTGTTGTTGGAGGCTGAGAAGGAGAGGTGGTGATCAGCAGAAGCCCAAGTCTTGAATTCCTGTTGTTTTTGTATATCTACAGGCATATCTTTATAAATGCTTTTGCAACTTCCCCTGTTCTCTTAAGAAATATGTATCCATTTTCCACTGTATACACTCCTCACACTGAAGGCACATATTTTACCTATATAAACATACTTTAGGAGATTGTACCCTGCCGAAACTGTTGCTGTCAACAGTTACTTTACCATGATATCCCATATCCAGAACTAAGGAACAAAGAAAATGTTGTCCTAAAGTTTGCATCTGTGTTTGGTTTAGGCAGAACGTAATTGCTAAAGTTAATGTTGTGGTGGTTTAAGAGAGTATGTTCTCCCTCCAGAAGGGTTAGTTTTACTTGGCTGAGTGATCTTACACTGTGTTTCCCAACTCCTAGCAAATAGCAGGGGATCGATTTATAGCATTTACCACATCTGATATTGTTTGTATCTCAGGACACTGTGAGCTTCTTAAAGATAAGTCATTAGTTTTACAGTATCACCGTTTGATTAAGCAAGGGCGGCACTTGCCTTGGGCCCCACAATTTAGAGTTACCTGCTCTGGTCCTTCTGTAGCCTGCACCCCTCTCCACAGAGTGAGGAATCTGTAGGGCCAAAAACTTACCTATCTCGATCCTTTCTGGTGCTTGCTTGGGTACCTGAAACCCAGAATTCTCTGTCCACATGGTTCAAAACGTATTTCCAGGGTCTCTATGCATCTTTTTCTGGGCTCCATTCTTTTGAGGGCAGGTTCTTTCTCTGATATGTATACCTTAAGGCCTGAGGGGTTGCTGATGGCAGTTGTTTCTGAGGGCATGTGGACATTACCCAAAGTGTCCACACTCGTATGTGAGGTCTCTTGAGGTGCAGGATGGATGGGGTTTAAAAGCAGGGAGATCTGAGTGCCAGGCACCCGAGGCTGGCTCTCCTAATGTCACTACTTTCCAGTGTAGAATCCTTAGGAGTCTGGAGAATTTTTTTTTTTTAGACGGAGCCTCACTTTGTTGCCCAGGCTGGAGTTCGGTGGCACCATGTCAGCTCACTGCAACCTCTTTCTTCTGGGTTCAAGCAATTCTCCTGCCTCAGCCTCCCGAAAAGCTGGGATTACAGGCGCCCAGCACGCCTGCTAATTTTTGTATTTTTTAATAGAGAGAGGGTTTCACCATGTTGGCCAGGGTGGTCTCGAACTCTGGACCTCAGGTGATTCACCCGCCTCAGCCTCCGAAAGTGCCGGGATTATAGGTATGAGCCACCACGCCTGGCTGAGCGTGGAGAATTCTAAGTTTGAATCTGTTATCCTGGTCGCTATGAGGGTATGTTTGTCAAGGTAGGAGGATAGAACATGTTTACTTAACAACATACTAGCTTAATACAAAATTTAGTAATTTAGTCATATGATATATATCCATTTGCATTATTGGCCCAGACTCTACAAACCTTAGGGGTGGTCCTGCTATTAAATACCCGCTAATGCTTCTCTCCAGTATTTAACTGTAGTGCTTGGCACATCATAGATGCTAATAAATGAATTAAATTTGAAGCTAAGAATGCCTTACCATGGCAAAAGATCAGAATTGCAGACAAACTTCTATTTACTAGCCTTTTAATTTATAGTTCAGGGGAAATCTATTTAGCAGTGAACTTCAGAATGACGGGTGAAATTTCTAAAGGAGCACAAATTAAATTCAGACTTTCTCATTTGTTGTTCTTCACAATATTTTAATTTATCATTTGTGAACTCAACCGTATTCATGTTATTTTCCTACCATATCTTGCAAGATAGCTTGTAGATACATTAGTTTATAACCAGGTTTTTGCTCGTCATATAATGCTCAAGTTTGCCTGAGATGCTAGTGTGTTTTTTGTTTGTGTGTGTGTGTGTGTGCGTGCGTGCACGCGTGCACCTCTACTTGGTTGACTGTATTTAAATGGTGTCCAGATCATTCCTTTCAATAGGAAGCAGCAACTCCCATTTATTGTTACTTTGTGCCAGGCATTACATGAAATAGTTGATATCCAGTATCACATTTAGTTCCCACAATAATTTTATGAGTTAGGGGGATTTATCCTAATGTCACAGATGTAAAAACATAGTATCAGGAGTGATTAAGTGATTTACCCAAGACACAGACCTAGTGAATAAGGGAAAAAATATTCTGCTTTTATTTACTTCAAAAGCTAATTTCCAACAAATATTCATGGTAATTTACTTTGGAATAATATGCAAATAATGTTTTTGCTATTTATTCTTCCTTTCTTTATCATGCATAGGAATTCAACCTTATTGATAGAAGAGAACTTGCACCACTCCAAGAACTGATTGAAAAACTCACTTCAAAGGACAGATAAAAGGATGCAGAGCTGTGCAAATTGTTCCTCAAGTGAAGTAGTGTGGAGTGTGTTGGGGTTTTTGTTATATTTTGTTTTTATCTGGATTATTTTTGTCCTAGGTTTGGGGGGACTTGTTTGGGTTCCTTTTTCTTTATTCTGATTATATAAAACCATATTCTATTGCTAGGGGAAGCCAAGAACCATTCTCTATACATTTGATAAGAGTAAATTTATCTTAGTGTTTTTAAACATGGTTTTGGTTACTTGAGGAGTTTTTAAATAATATTGTGTGCTGCAAGAAAGTGCTGATTGATTGAACTGCTGATGGATTGGTTTCTGCGTGGTATAAATTGTGGCCCATTTTTGAAGTCCCCAAAAGACTTACGTTTTTAAGTGCCTTGGCAGTCTCACTTCTGAGGTGCAAAGCATAGATATAGAACTGAACAGGGCTTAAAACAATATTAGGATTACTACCCAGGGCACTTACTGGTGCATGTTGTAAAATATCTGTGATAAAAGCCATAGTTTACCTAAAATGGTGATCTCCAGCCTTTACTGCTTTGAAGAAACAGAATTTGTAAAGGTGTGCATGTAGAACATAAAAAATATTTCTTAATTATTTTTGATATTGACGGTAATATGTTATGTTCAACAATGCTTAAAGCTCTACAAGCAGGTCTTTTCCCACCTCTTGTTATCTGTGATATTGAAACTTCAGGATAATGAAATGTATTACATTTTGGCTTCTTTCTACACGTTAACTGCACTGTAGTTGTAAAAATTCAGGTTATATATAGGATTGCCATCTTCAGAGGTGATGCTGAACTGTGAGGTTTCCTAGCAATTGCCAAATGAGCCATAAGTCTGCACAATTCCCATCTGCCTTGAAGAGGAGGGATAGGAATGTGTATTTGGCTGGGGGTATGGAGATATTACTCTGTATGGGGAGTTAAGTTCTAGAAAGTTTTGTCCGAAAACCTTTGAATAGAGTGGCATGAAGATTTTAATCAATTACTTATAAACAAAGTCTTAGAGACTTCCTTTTAGGAATCAACTTCCATGAGAAGTTAAAAATAAATTATTGTTTTAGGTACAGACATTAAACATGGAATTTAAGGACTGTTTGGGGAAATTGATCATTTCTTAGCATTTCCATTCAGTGAATGGAGCTGGTGTTTCCCTGTCATTTTAAGATGATACTGTATCTTCTTTCCTTATTATAGGCCCAGTTTGAAGCATTCTGACTTCTGTTTTTTCCACTGTGAAAGGAAATGTTTTTCTTTGCAGTGGTATCAGATAATGAAAAATGCTAATTCAGTAGTTATTAACTTTTAAATTTTATTTGCCATGACCTTCTAGTGAATTATTACCATAAATAACAAGTTCAGAACTTAGTTTTTAGAATATTTTTTTCCACTTCAGTTTTATTCTTGAGAAATACCCTTTTCAGAAATCCAATTTTAGTGTTGTCATTTCCAATAAATCTTCTTTCTTCAGTAGAAATATATACCCTTTCTTCAGTAGAAACATAGACCTTTTTCCTTCTAGGAAGAAATGCTTGCTCTGAAATAGTATAGAGTAAAAACACTTAGTAGAGAATCTAAAATTAAATCAGTTTGCTTTGCCATTAACAAGTAGAGCAGACAATTTAATGCCATTATAATTATGTTGACTAGGAACTGCCTTTTTCTCCACTTCATTTCTAGCAATTATTTACCAAGTACGAATAGTAGAAATAACAGGAGAGCATGGCAGAGTTAGATATATTAGACATTTATTGGTAAAGCTTATTTATAAACTGCAGTGAGAGCTAGTTAATTTCCTCAAGACAGATCTTTTTGTATTCAGATAGATAATATGAATCATTATGGGTTGATTCAGAAATAAAATTTGTGAGGTGATTTTGAGTATTGTCTATATAGGAAAATGAAGCACAGAATTACTCGGTCTTCCATATTGTATTTGACTTCATATCAGTCTAGTAACAAAGGAGTTGCAGTAGTCAAGTGTAGAGAGAACAGTGAAAAATTAATCTTGCCCTTTCAAGCCTTATACAGTAGTACACTGTAAAAATGGAAAAATGTCTCCATAAATTAATTTTAGTAGTAAGACCTACTCTCCTCTATATGTAGAAAGAAGTTTGTTTTCACTGTGCCAGAATCTCAGGTGCCTGCTTCAGAGTATTTCTTTAATCACAGTCATTGGGAAGTAAAGAGATGTGTATATGTGTATATATGGTAACAAAGCATAACAGTTCTTTAGGGGAGGGGCCTGCCATTGCACATGGTGTTACATGGCTGCAAGTAAAGAAAAATCAGAAAGTGAAGGAACTGATACAATAAAAAGTTGATTTGATTTGGTTGGTTCCTGTCAAAGTTGGTAAGATGCCCTTTGCCCCGCTCCCCGAGACAAGAGTCTCACACTGTCGCCCAGGCTGTAGTGCAGTGGCGTGATCTCGGCTCACTGCAATCTCTGCCTCCTGGGTTCAAGCAATTCTTCTGCCTCAGTCTCCCGAGTAGCTGGGACTGTGCTCATGCGCCACCACGCCCAGCTAATTTTTTTGCATTTTTAGTAGAGACGGGGTTTCACCATGTTGGCCAGGATGGTCTCGATCTCCTGACCTCTTGATCCACCTGCCTCATCCTCCCAAAGTGTTGGGATTACAGGTGTGAGCCACGGCGCCCGGCCAATGCCCTTTTAAATGTAAGGATCAATGCTTTGTTCTGCCGCAAAGTTTGCTGATAAATGTCTGTTGTATTCTTTTCGGATTTTAATTAATTTGTAAGTAACCAAGATAATTATTTTCCCCCTTGCTCTTTATATTAATACATAGCTATAAAGCAAAAGTTGGTTTTCTTACCCTTCGATAAAAGCATCCCGTAAAATATAAAGTAGTAAGTTAACATAGTATTATTATTAGTCACAGTGCTTTTTTTGGTTAAATGTTGATCTGAAACAATGTTTTGGAATTACTTTAAATGATGGAGTCGTGGTGGTAGAGAGAAATTAATCACAAAAAGAGTGAAAATCTTTTAATTAGCAGTAGATGGTGCTGCTGGCTTTCATTTGCAGACTTGATTATTCCCTTTCCCTTAAAAGCCATGGCATTAGACTGTACTAAACAAGAAGCATGTGTTAGTTGCTGGTAGAGGTTTTGGAGGTTAATTTACCTTAAGTTGTAAGATTTTAAATTGCTGCCTCTTTCTGCCTTTCCTCTGTTAGTCATTTGTAAATTCTAAATGGTCACCATAAAATGTATTAGGTAGGAGAAGATATGTTTTGTGTATAATATATCTCAGATGGAGTTACTACCTGGCTTATCAGGATGGATAAAACACTACAATCTCTTATCAGGAAATAGAGATGATATGGATATTTATATATTACATATATAATCACCAGACTCCATTTTATATGTTAGTATTTTCCTTGCTTATGGGAAAATAGCAAAACAGCATTTCATTTATACTTTTGTCTACCCCTCTCTGAGAGAGGTTTTGATAACCACTGAAATGGTAGAATATGTGAGATACAAATATTGACTTGTAGAACTTTCTTTTTAAAATGAATAAGTCATGCCTTAACATCCAAATGAGAGTTGATCTTCAAAGTGGTTCTTTTGGGAGCACTATTTATTCTAGCTATACTGCAAAAGGATAATATTTTTGGAAATCTTCTAGAGGATGCCATAAGAATCAGTTTGTGATTATGCAGGAAAATCAATTTCATCATTTTAGTTGCACCAAAAACTTTTGGCAGCTTAATATGACTTTTTTTTTTCTTTCTTTTTTGAGATGTAGTCTTACTCTGTTGCCCGGGCTGGAGTGCAGTGGCATGATCTCAGCTTACTACAACCTCTGTCTCCCAGGTTCAAGCAATTCTCCCTCCTGAGATTCCCAGGTAGCTGGGATTATAGGCATGCACCACCACACCTGCCTAATTTTTGTATTTTTAGTAGAGATGGGATTTTACCATGTTGGCCAGGCTGGTCTCAAAATTATGACCTCAAGTGATCTGCCCTCCCCAGCCTCCCAAACTGCTGGAATTACAGGCATGAGCCACCTCGGCCAGACAATATGCTCTATCTTAATCATCAGCTCAACTGTAATTTAAACTTGGCTGTTCTCTGAGAACTCAACCATTAGGGAAGTTCAAAGGAAAGTGCCATAAGTTCTGAATTTGCACAAGATAATGTTTTAGGCCTTGGTAACATCATTGAATATAAGAATAGTTTCCTGATGTCACTTTTTGAAGTGGAAAATATCACTTGGATATAGAGGTTTTACTTTAGAAAAAAAATCAGTTCAATTACCTTAATTACCTTAGTTAGATATGTTAATAATCTAAAGAACTAAGTCCTTTCTCTAGAACTTGTTTTCTATTTTTGTTCCTTTTCCTGAAAACTTTCAATTTAATTTTGACTACTGTAGGATAGTATTGATTGAATGGATACTATGGAAAAATGGGTCCAATATTTAAGATAGAAGTGGTTTACTGCAATTTTTTAAAAAAATGTTTTCAGTCAGATGAACAGTTTGTCTTTAATGAAAGACTGGAGATTATTATACAAAGAAATTGGATTAAGTTTCATATGCTAATTATGCTGAGTTTTAAGCCTACATATCACAAAATATTTGGAATTGTATAACCTTTTCATATATTTATAATTTTTAATGTCTTTTTAAAAGATGTGGGACCAAAAGCATATTTATAATTTGGAAATGTGATTGCATACCAATAAGAAAACTTACCTTATTTTGAAATTTATCTGAGGTATTGAAAAATATGCCAATTCTTAAAAACACAGATTTATACTTTAAGCTTATTTTGAAATTTATCTGGGATTTTAAAGAATATATACCAGTTCTTAGAAACACAGATTTATACTTTAAGGACTACTCTTTAGTAATGTAAATATCAGAGTTTTATTGTAATATTAAAATTTACCATAGAAGTCACTGTTGTTCAGCTATCAGCTTAATTGTGTATGATATGATAAAGCTATCTTAAGATTTAATGGAAAAGTTTAATTTGAAGATGTAACAAAAATTCTGACCACAGATGATTTTGAATTTTTAAGGCTTTCCTAATAAGCTAATCACAGAGAATAATTCATTTTGAAGGTGTAAAACTGCACTCTATGTCTGTCACTTGTAGCTGAACTGATTCACATTTTGACAAAACAGAGAAAATACAAATTAAAATGTTGAGTACCAGCAGTTTTGCAAATGTAGTACAACTTTCTTTTTCTGCATGTAGAACTAAATAATTGGAAACTTCGGGCTACCATTTTCAAAGGTAGATACTAAAATCACTGGCTTTTTCCAGCAGTATGTTTTTCCACTGTTAGTGTACACACACACACTGGAAAATAATTAGGCTGATTTTTCAGGTCTTCATTGTTAGAGATTCTTAAGTATTTACTGTCAGTTCATAGGTTTCAGTTTGTTTAGGTTGACAGCTTTCTTTAAATTATTTCACTGAAGCTGAGATTATTAGTGATACAAAGTTAAAATTTCAATATTTAATTTTTCCGTCACATATTATTAATACTAAATTGTTTTTTAATTTGTAAATTCATGTTCCCATCTGAATTAATATAAATTTTTATAGGTGGGTATTTCTTACAGTTTTACACAAGTTTTTATTTTTATTTTTCTGAAATAATTGTGCAGGTTGTAAAAAAGATTAGTGCATTTTCATTTTAAGGATGCTTTGTTCCTTAAATTGTTTGGCAGAAATGACTGGTTTTAGGGAAAACAGCTTTTTTTTACAGACACTAACGTTAGTATTTGTTATTATTGTACATGCATAACCAGAGAGGTGAGGGCACTAATCTTGTAACGAACACTTACTTGATGTTTTATTTGAACTTTTCCTACAAATTTAAGTTACTAGAATTACCACTAGGAACAGTGCCATGAAATCTCGGTTGAAAGAGAATACAATATATGTGAGAACACTTAAAGTTCAAATAGAAATCATTTCTGAAGACAAAGCAGAGGAATATTGTCGGTGCCAAGTAATGGAAGAATAAGGGCAGCATTTACACTGTGCAAGTATTGAGGAGAGTGCATACCCAAGACAGGGATCTACTCCCATGGAGATAAGACAGTTTCTCTCTTATAATCAAGTAGCTAGAAGGGGGAAAATACTCTAAGATATGAAATTCAACATAGGCGTTATAAACTATGCCAGATTATGCAAATTGTAGTTACTGATCGAAGTTTAATTGCTTCATCATTTTGGTTAAAAAGGGATACTGAATGTCAAAAAATCTGTAATATGTTTTATTTGAGAGATGTAAATAATGTATACAGACTTGTATGTGATAGGATGGGAAATATTTAAATTATAGGTTTTTTTTTTAAAGGAGGAAACTCAATGTTTATAAGAAAAAAATGAATAAATAGTTATGTTTGGCCATGAATCCTGACTTTGCGTTACTGTTTATTTTTGCTATTGGCATTCCCACACTAAACACATTCCAAGGGAAATATTGATGGTATATAGAATATGTTGAACATTGAAATTTTGTTAGGCATTATTTTCTGTAATGTTCACAACAACCTTGGAAATTAGTATCTCAGTCAACATCCTAGAAAACTAAAGCTCAGAAATTGTACAAGTCACTGATTTGGATTAGGGTTTTAAAATCCTACTATGCCTGAACTTGAAGCCAGTGTTTTTGTTTTTCTTTTTTCACTTTTTTGTTTATTCTTCAGTGTGCAGCTGTATTTTTTTAAAATATATACTATTACAATGAGAGCAGTTAGTATAGTAATAATCATTTGTTGACCTTTTCATTAAGCTATTTTAATATTTTGTCTTCATTGTAGATCATTAAGGAATAGTAATAAACAATATTGGAGAATCATCTACCAAGTTCCAAAAGGAAATGTGTATTTTATTATATTTATTTATTTTTTGAGATAGAGTCTTGCTCTCTTGCCCAGGTGGGAGTGCAATGGCATGATCTTGGCTCACTGTAACCTCTGCCTCCTGGGTTCAAGCGATTCTCCTGCCTCAGCCTCCCGAGTAGCTGGGATTACAGGTATGTCCCACCACGCTCAGGTAATTCTTTGTATTTTTAGGAGAGACAGGATTTCACCATGTTGGCCAGGCTGCTCTCAAGCTCCTGACCTCAGGTTATCCACCTCCTTTGGTCTCCCGAAGTGCTGGGATTATAGGCGTGAGCCACCACACTAGGCCAAAATGTGTATTTTAGCAGTCTTCTCAGAGTATGAGACGTATTTATGTTAGAGGCATTTGTGTTTGAACGTCAGGTTAAGAATATTTAATGGTAGTAGCCACAGTTGCTCAGAGTCACTAAGAGTATTTGGGAGAGAGACTAGTTGAACTGCTGGTCAGTGCTGATGTGGACTGTGTCTGCATGCTTTAAAAACACCCTGTTATTCATTTGTTGTGTGTAAAGAAATATACACATACTCATATATTGTAAAATTTACTACATTTTGATAATTAGGTTCATTTACCTCTGTCGTACTAAACATAAGCTGTTAATCCCTCATATAACATCTGCAGCGATGCATTTTGCAACACAAAGATTCTAATTAATTATTCCTCTAAGGTTTAAACAATCATGTTTAGAAGTTTTACTAAAAAATTGTACATGCTCCTGTTTTAAACACCGTGATGAATACAGTATCACATTTTCTTGATGGCTCTGGTTCACTTTACAAGCATGTAGCAAAACAGCTTTCTTTGCTAAGCTATATACAATCGATGACTCCCATGCTCTTCTAGTATGTTATTTTGCTTTCAGATTTCAGACTTGCAGGCAGTACCCAGACTCCCACTCTTGCATTTATGATGGTTTCTGTACCCCCTGTTTTCTAGGCACTAATGAAGATTACAAGGGGAAATTTGTAACGGAGCTTATTAAGTTGCTAAACATTTTACATAAGTAGTTGAGTTGGTGTAGACGAATTCATGGGCCGTGTAACCACTACTTACCTATGTTCAGGGCCTCTTATTTTCTATGTTTTTTGCTATTTTCTGAGTTGATTTAGTTTTCCTAATAGACCTGTACGTTGTCAGGCAATTCACCCACCATAGCCTCCCAAAGTGCTGGGATTACTAGAATTCCCACAGGAGAAAAAGAATTCCCAAATTGAAGGAATAGTAAAATTTCTGGCAAGAAAGGGTTAAGATGGCAGCATGCTCATGACTGGCTGGGTGCTCTGTATTCTCTCTTATCTGCAGTTCCAAAATCTGAAAAGCTCAGAAAACCTTTATTTATTTATTTTATATGATTTTGAGATGGAGTTTCACTCTATCACCCAGGCTGGAATACAGCTGAGTGATCTTGGCATACTGCAACCTCCGCCTCCCGTGTTCAAGTGATTCTCCTGCCTCAGTCTCCCGAGTATCTGGGACTATAGGCACACGCCACCATGCCCGGCTAGTTTTTGTGTCTTTAGGAGAGACAGGGTTTCACCATGTTGGGCAGGCTGGTCTCGAACTCCTGACCTCAGGTAATCCACCTGCCTTGGCCTCCCACAGTGTTGGGATTATAGGCGTGAGCCACCACACCTGGCCCCAAAACTAGTTTTTTGAATTCAGTGCAAACTTAATCTGACTGGAGGTTAATAGTTTTTATCCCACTTCACGTTAACACTCTTTATATTTCACTGCAAAATATTAGTGCATTTAATTTAACACCTTTACAGAGGGAGTGGGGGTGCTTACTTAATATATATAGTATATGCACTGTATTTCTTTTTTAAAGTTTGGATTCTAAATTTTATTTTTGAGACAGTCTTTCTGTGTCACTCAGGCTGGTGTGCAGTGGTGTGATTATTGCTCACTAAAGCTAAAACTTTCCAGGCCCAAGCCATCCTCCCACCTCAGCCTTCTGAGTAGCTGGGACCTCAGGTGTGTGCCACCATAACCAGCTAATTTTTGTATTTTTTGTACTAGTTTCGCCATGTTTCCCTTGTTGGTCTTGAATTCCTTAGCTCAAGCAATCCACCCGCCGTAGCCTCCCAAAGGGCTGGGATTACAGGCGTGAGCCACTGCGCCCAGTTCCAAAGTTTTGAATTTCTTTTCTAGAAATTTTGAATTCTGAAACATCTGGCTGCCAGGGTTTTAGATAAGAGATTGTGGACCAAAAATCAAGATGTTTTGAAAAGCACTTTTCTCTGGTCTCTCCTTGTGTTACACACAGGTCATATAGGAAAATGAGAAATTATGCTGGACTTAATGCCAAAAAAGCTAGATTCTTTGCTTCCCCCATTTACTTTGTTGTTATTTGAGACAGGGTCTCACTGGAGTACGGTAGCATGATCTTAGCTCACTGCAGCCTCAACTCCTAGGCTTTGGTAATTCTCCCACCTCAGCCTCCCAAATAGCTGAGACTATAGGCGCCTGGCTAATTTTTCTATTTTTTTGTAGAGACAGAGTTTTACCATGTTGCCCAGGCTAGTCCCGCTCTGTTGCTAGGCTGGAGTGCAGTGGTGTGAATCTTGGTTCACTTCAACTTCTGCCTCCTGGGTCCCAGTGATTCTCCTGCCTCAGCCTCTTGAGTAGCTGGGACTATAGGCATGTGCCACCATGCCTGGCTAATTTTTGTATTTTTAGTAGAGATGGGGTTTCACCAGCTAATTTTTATATTTTTAGTAGAGATCTGGTTTCACCATGTTGGCCAGGATGGTCTTGATCTCTTGACCTCATGATCCCCCCACCTCAGCCTCCCAAAGTGCTGGGAGCCACTGCACCCGGCTCCACATTTGTATTTTCAAAGTATACTTTTGGCTTAGATGAACTCAAGTTCTCACAGCCAGAAACTGGCAGAGCTGGTGTTTGAAATCTTTAATTTTTCAGTGCTTAAACTCTTCATCCTTGTAAGATACCACTTCTTGTGTGGGTCGTTTTGTGAAAACCACACTTGGAGATTTCTACTCCTCAACCCCAAGCCTCTTTATGACACCTGTGGGAAACATGCTCAGTGCTGCATAGAAAAATCAACACTGAGACAAAGGATCTCTCAGCAAGGCAATTTTACTTTCTGCAGAAAGGATGCCCCTGTTAGCCATCTTGCCACAAGAGTACAACTAATAAAGGAAAGCAGACATATTTATCCCTTACACATTTGGAGTCATCTGATCTCTGTCGGTTGGAGCCAGACTTAACAATCTAAAACTGAACTCGATCAGCTAATAACTTAAAACTTTCTTGAAGAGGTAAAGGCAATGAAGAACAAAAGTAAAAGAGGAAATCCAAATAAGAAAGGGTCATAGGCTGTGAGCTGGGACATGCCTGTAAGCATGCCCAGCACAGATGTCTTGGTTAAAGTACAAGGACATAGAATGTACTATGTGCCTGTGAACGTGTCTAACAACTACATAAGATAGGGCTTAACAAAGAATTATTACCAAAAAGCAAGAAGGCTTTGAAGAAAGTCTTTAAAACAAACTATTATTTCTAACACTTATGATTTATTCTTTAACAAGAAAGGAAACTTTGAAGAGGAGCTTTTCTACTTCCCACAACGTCCATGCAGGACTTCAGCTCTGCTTTCCTGTTGAAGGTCTCAGAGACTTGCCTTGCCTTCCTCCTCTTGGTAGCTGTCAGTACTCTTACCATTTCATGAGTTTTCCCCCAAGCTTGGCTGTGGAATGTGATATGTAGTAGTTTCACCAGCACCTTTCTCCCAGCTTCCTTGCTGTACCTGATTCAGGCATTTTCCATTTCTAGGATCTTGCTGTTAATCACTATGGGAGTAAGTAAAAGTAATATATACAAAATAAATGCATAATGGAATAATATAGGGTAGTTACAAATAATGATTCTTGCTGTTTCATCCTGAAAATGTGATCCTTAATGAGTCACATTTTAATTTCTGCTTTTTATTTCTGAGAATGGAGTCACCATTTTCCCCCTTCTGGCTACACATTTAGATGCATTTCAGATCTGATGATGGTTGCAATGTAAAAAAGAATAGCAAGGCCTTTGGTTTCTGTAGACAGTTTGGACAAGATAACTTCCAGAGTGGGTAATGTCCAGTTTATTAGTGTTACTGGATGGGAAGTCTCAACTCTTGAGTTGTCTAGGTTCTTGGCGTGTTGAACGAAGAATTGAACAAAACGTAGAAACAAAGTAACAAAAGCACAAATTTATTGAAGCAAGCAAGTGCCTCAAGAGTCCCAAGTGCAATTCTTAAGCTTTACTAGGCTAAAAGAATTTGGTAAACCTCTAGGTGCCCTTTATAGTCTGCTACTTGGTTACACCCTATGAAGGATTGGCCTGCGACCAATGAGAGGCTGAAATGGACATGGCCGAGGCCAGTCAGAGGTTGATGTTGAAACTTCTGCCTTGTGAAATCACAGGAGTGAAGGTGTGGCCTGTATCCTTCCTAGTCTTGCCTAGAACTGGCTGCATCTGCTGTTCTTTTGCTTATGCCTTAACCCTTGGTTACCCCAATTCCCTGTTCTCCTGCCTCATTAGGTCTTTACCCTGACTAAAAATGCACTCATCTAGCTGGGACAAACCAATCCTACACTGCATTTGTCCCAGCTACATGAGTCTTCTGGCAGAGTACATGGCACAGAAGTAGGCATTCAAAAATTAGGCATACAGTTCATTTTGTTACCTATGTGCCAGGTGTTGGGCAGGCTAAGTCAATTAACAGCTGAACAGAAACCCACCTACCCAACGTGCTAACTTCTACACAGCATGGTCGTGTATCCAAATCAAATGGAAAGGGGGTGGGAGATCTGGAAAGGGTTCTCGTGGGAGGCATCTGACTACCTAAATTCCTATCCCAGTTTCACTTACTGACACTTGGAACAAGCAGCCTCTCAGTGCCTGTATTCCCACTGTAGGTAAATGGGCTAATGACGGTATCTCTGGCACTAGACTTAATTAATGAAAAGCGCATAGAAGAGAGCCTGGCTCACAGTAAGTGGACAGTGCGTTTCCCGAGGACAGCACTTCGCCTGATGTTCATCTTCTAGGCTGAGAAGCCAGGGTAAATCCATTTGATTTTCCTATCACACAGTGCCTCTCCCCTGATGAGTTCAAACCTTTAGGTCCATCCAGTTCTGTCCAGACGCGATGTTCATCTCCAACAGGCCCACTGGAGACGCGAGTTTTCCAAAGCCTGGCATGGCCCACTGCAGGTAACGCCCTCAGGCCTCTGGCGTCCATCCTTCCTCCCTACGCGACTCCCGAACCTCTTCCGCGCCCCGCTCGGGCGCCAGGCGGCAGTGGTAGAGTCGCACCGCCTCACGCGCAGCCCCGCCCCGGCCTCCACGTGACCTGGCCGGCTGAGCGCGCACACGGGGGCCCGCGCTGGAGGCGGGCGAGGGCCGACCGGCCAGCCAGGGGTCTCGGGCTTGGGAAGGGCGGGGCCACGCCACAGGCCCGCCCCCATCATCAGCTGCCTACGCGCGCCAAAGTCAAACCTCCACACCCGCCGGCGGGCCGGTGAGCTCACTAGAGGACCGGGCAAGTCAGGATCTGTCTCAGCGGCGCCGCGAGCCCCAGCGCGCGCATCTGTGGCTGCCCCCCTGGTCTCTCTGCCCGACTTACTCCAGGCCGACACAAGACTAGGAATGGCCACCCCGCCCAAGAGAAGCTGCCCGTCTCTCTCAGCCAGCTCTCAGGGGACGCGCATCAAGAAAATCTCCATCGAAGGGAACATCGGTAAGGAACTTCCGGAAATGTGGGACCTAAGGCTGGGGCGTCGCGGCAGGGGCTGCAGCTTGCCTTCCCTTCTCTGCAGCTCCTTGGCTTTCCCTCCAGCCTGGCCTTGTGGACGCTGCCTCGGCTTCCTTTCCCACCCACAGCATCCTCCCCTTGCCTCCTGCGCCGCGGGGTGACTGCGGTCACAGGGCTCAGACTGGGCGCCAGGCCTGCAGTCTGAGGCGCGCTTTGAGCTTCCGCGCCCTCTTTGTTGGGAACTCGCAAAGGGAATCGGGGAAAAGGGTATCAGATATCTGGAGGCGTAACTTACATTAAATTCATCATTTTTAGGTGAGGTTTGACAAACATTATGCCTTTAACTGTCGCCACGATCGAGATACAGAACATTTCCATCACCTCGAAAAGTTCCTGCTTGCTCCTTTGTAGTCAGCCCTCTACCCCCTTCCTATTCCCTGGCAACCACTGATTTGTTTTCTATCCCTGCAAGTGTTGCCTTTTCCAGAATGCCATCTAAATGGAATCATAGACTATATCGCCTTTTGTGTCTGGCGTCTTTCATTTAGCATAATGCTTTGGAAGTTCGTTCATGTTACTTGTGTCTATGGTTTGTTTCTTTTTATTGCTGAATAGTATTCCATTGCATGGATGTACCGTTGTTTATCCATTTTCTAGTTGTGGACCTCTGGGTTGTATACAGTTTTTCAGCTATATTATTAACGAAACATATAAACATTCGAGTACAAGGAAAGAGGCCTTTAATGATCTTAATAGCATGGATTTCCTCACCCCTTACTCCACATCCAAGTAAACACTGGATTATGATTCAAAGACCACTAATGTTCCTGTTAACTCAGATGGGGGACAGATTAGGCCATGCCTGCCATTTTGCAAGATGCACAGCAACTTTCGATTCTTTTGTATTTCCAACCACAGGAAACCTACTCCTGAAACTTCCTGTTTTGATAGATTTAAAAAAAATTGTTTAGCTCCAGGTTGGGTGCTGGTCACTCATGCATACAGCAAATGCTTTAAAATTCTTACCACATTCAAAGCACTGTACTTTCTTGAGAAAGGCAAGGAAAGCAGATGCTTTAAGCATTCAAATGAATAGAAAAAAATGCATTCTCAAAGAAGACTTTCTTATTTCATTGCTCCAGAATTAAGGCACCAGTAGAGACCATATAATATACTTAGCAATTTAAGTTATTTGAGGGTGCATGTTCACTAGTATGGAATCCTTCACAGCTGCTTACTGGATAAAGAAGAACATATATAAAGGCTGGAGAAAGTAGCTGAACAAAGCCATCTGAAAGGTAAATTTGAGACGGGGCATGGTGACTCATACTTGTAGTCCCAGGATTTTGGGAGGCTTAGGCAAGAGGATGTCTTGAGTCCTGGAGCTCGAGACCAGCCTGGGCAATGTAGTGAGCCCTCATTAAAAAAAAATTAAAAAGTTGCTTCATGTGCTGGTGTGTGCCTGTGGTCCCAGCTACTCCAGAGCCTGAGGCAGGAGGATTGCTTGAGCCCAGAGGTCAAGGCCACAGTGAGTCATGATCACGTTACTGCACTCCAGCCTGGGTGACAGAACAAGACTGTGTTAAAAACACAAAAACAAAACAAAAAAGGAAATTTGAATGAATAACTCCTCAGAGCAATACCACAGTACATTCATCTTGTTTCTCTCTCTCAAATCCAGTTAGATAACATCATATTTAGGAATCTGCTTTCCCCAAAGCATCTTTAATCTTCTCAGCACCTGAAATAATTTTCTAATATATCATCCCATCTCCAGTTTCTCTTAACTACTTCTGGAGCAGTCTTTTTGTATGCAGATGTTTTTGTGTTATCCCCAGCTTAAACTTATTCACTGATTTCCCCATTACCTACACTGAAAGGAATTGCTAACTGATAGCCTGCAGTTGCACAATATTGACAGGCACAGGTTGAAAAAACATTTTAGTGCCCGGTGGCTCAAGTTTATAATTCCAGTGCTTTGGGAGGCTGAGGTGGGAGGATTGCTTGAGACCAGCGTGGCAACATAGTGAGAACTGTCCTCTAAGAAAAATAAAAATAAAAAAATTAGACCAGGCGTGGTGGATCATGCATGTAGTTCCAGCTACTCAGGAGGTTGACGCTAATGTGGGAGGATCGCTTGAGTCTGGGATGGAGAAGTTGCAGTGAGCCGAGATGGCACCACTGCACTCCAGCCTCTTGACAGAAAAAAAAAAAAGGCCAGATGTGGTAGCATGCACCTTTAGTCCTAGCTACTCAGGAGGCCGAAGTGGGGGATCTCTTGAGACCTGTAATTTGAGGCTGCCGTGAGCTGTGGTTGTGCCACTGCACTACAGCCTGGGCTACAGAGTGTTTTCTTTAGACACAGAGTGTTTTGTTCATGTCCCCTTCGCCTTATTTGCCAGATCCAAATAAGCTATAAATGCACAAATTATTAATTTGTGCTATTTTTCTTCTTGCCCTCTGCGGTTTGGTCTGTTTCAGCATCACAGGGACAACGAATTAAATTCGTTGCTAACTTGAAAACTTTTTGAGATTTCCCATAAACACCTAGATTCTTGGCTTCTTTTGAAAAATCTGAAGATCTGTTAACACTGGGCCTGCATTTCTGTATGACAGCATTGGTGTTTAGATGGAGCATGTTCCTTGCCATTTTTCATCTCCCTGACACTGAGATTTTGTTAGTTGCTGTTTATTATTGGTCTTGCACTTTTGTTCATGTCCCCTTCACCTTATTTGCCAGATCTAAATAAGCTATAAATGCTTATATGATTATTAAGCTGTGTGTACACAGTCATCACAAACATGAAAGCAGCATGGATACAACCCAGTGATGCTAAAAGGAGAAACAGTGTGAACAAAGCATGATTTTGGTAACCACAACAGTTGTTGATCCAAGGACAGTGATGGACCATCTTCATCACACATCTGTTACACTTTCTGCGGTGATGTGAATGTAGTGCCTTGTATGCTTGGCAGACTTTACAATACTGGAGATATGGGTATCCTGAGAAATTTCCAGTTTCCACCCCAGAGGGACGAAGCCCGGACCGACAAACATGGCATTGAAGTAATTATAAAGAATCATGACAGTCTAATGTATCAACATGATGAAATTCAGACTTCCTCCAGTTGTATGTAGGGGCCATTACCACAATCCAGAGTCAGTCATGGCCATTGTACAACATATTGCTATAACATTAAGGGCTATGATGGGCCCCCAGTGACACAGTCTCTTTAATTCTTGGAGATTTTCAAATTTGATAACTGAACAGAATGTACCCATTTTGGCAAGGAAGAATACCTTCCTACTTTTAAAGAATTATAGATTTCCTTTTTCTGTGCACACATTTCCATGTGCCACAAGTCCATGTGTGTTCTTTATCTGTCATTCCTTCAAGCTGTTAATTCTTAACGCAGATTACACCATTTTCACTGTCAGGTACCCAAAGCTCTTTATCTTAACTAGGAGAATCCAGTACCTTGGTCTGAAACCCAACCTCAGCCACACTGAGAGTTCGCTTCTCAGCCATTGCGTATCTGGGGCGGCCTGGGCTCACCCGGAACAGATTTTTTCCTCTTTGGATGACTTGATCGTGGGCACCTCAGTCCAGGACAAGCAGACAGCAAACCCTGGCCGCGAGAGGCTGGAGTGTGGGACCTGCTATGACCCATGTGCGACCCATGTTCCTCTCTGCCAGCGCCCTTGCCTCGACGCTCCCGCTCAGGCCCCCTTCTCCATTTCCAATTAGCTTATTTTCTAGCTCCCACTTTTCCCCCAAAAGTTAAGGAACTAGATGTTAGTCTAATTGGGAACTCCAGCTATTATTACTCTGCTTGAACTAAATGTAATCATTATTACTCAGACTTTTTAAGTATGAACTCATGAACTTTTTCTTCTTGTAAGCAGTGTCAGAAGAAAGTTGAATGCTCTGGCCCTAAGTGCTTTCAGACTCGAGTGGATGCCCGATTTTTAAATGTGTTCCTTGGGTGCTCTTTCTGAACATCATGTTCCCTTTCCCTCTTCCATCTAGTTCAGTGAATGTGAACTATATGCTTCCACTTTCACTTAGCATTCTTCTAAGTGCCTTAAAGTCCCTAAGCTTACACTCTCCATACTAAATTTTGGTGGCCAGTATTTTTCCCATGACTAAATCTAATAGTCATCCAGTTTATCCTTAAAAGTTTTTCTCCTCTATTCTGGAGACAATTGACTGTGCTTTTCTTCTAAACTGTCTCCCTGTGTCACCTTTTTATTTACTGCCTCCTTCCCTTTCTTTTTCTCTGTGTGTGATTCTTTAAAGTTCTTCTAGTTTTTTCTTCTTTTCTATTGCCCTATCTAATGTCCTAGATTTGAATATAGTTCTGCAAGTCAAAGGTAAGTTCTTTTTACTCTCTGTAGATCTAATTTATAAGGAAGAGGAAGCTTTGCTTGTAAGTATATTGAAGTTATTTATATGTTCATCTGTGTGTGTGTGTGTGTGTGTGTTTGTGTGTGTGCACACACAGAGAGAGAAAGATAGAAAACATTATGCTAACCAGAGATGTCTAATGTAACCACATTTGGTGACTTCAGATATAAAGGGTGTGGTGGCCATTAGGAGTATTGCTTCTAGATCAAGACTGTCCCTACTATTAAATATAATGTATTATTAAAGTGAACATAATAACAAACAAATGTGCATAATGAAATTGGTCAGGGAGCCTTTTAATTTTCATTTAAAGAAATATAAAGTTTAGAAAATGGAATGTTTTCGGTTTTTTGTGTTGCTTGCTATTGTAACTCTTGCAAAAGCTGATGATTATTTGATGTCTTTTTTTCCTGACAATTTTTCTTCCTCATTTTATCTTTCTTACAACAGCTTCAGGGAAGTCAACATTTGTAAATATCCTGAAAAAAGTGTGTGAAGATTGGGAAGTGGTTCCTGAACCTGTTGCTAAATGGTGCAGTGTCCATAGTACTCAAGATGAATTTGAGGTATGAAAATAAAATTTAAGTAGATAAAATCCTTTTGGTTTAGAGGAGCAGTAGTACTTAATCTCTTGGCTTTTTTTTTCTTCTTTTTCAATAAAACTTTCAAATCTAGCTTTAGGTCTATATCTTCGTCTAGGCGGTAGTTACATGGATGAATATACAGTTGGCTCTCCATATCCATGGGTTTTGGATCTGGGGATTCAGCCAATCATGAATAGAAAATATTTAGAAAAAAATAATAATACAAAAGTAAAAAATAATACAGCTTACTGTTTATGTAGCATTTACATTGAATTAAGTATTATAAGCAATCTAGAGATGATTTATACTATTGGGGAGGATGTGCATAGGTTATATGCAGTTACTACACCATTTTACATAAAGGACTTGAGCATCTGTGGATGTTGGTATCTGTGTGGATCCTGGAATCAATTCTTGAGGATACTGAGGGGAGCTGTATGTATAAACATTCATTGAGGCTGGGGGTGGTGGCTCATGCTTATAATCCCAGCATTTTGGGAGGCTGAGGCAGGCAGATCACTCAAGGTCAGGAGTTCAAGACCAGCCTTGCCAACATTGTGAAACCCCATCTCTAATAAAAATACAAAAATTAGCTGGACATGGTGGTGGACACCTGAATCCCACCTACTCGTAAGACTGACATAGGAGAATAGCTTGAACCCAGGCAGTGGAGGTTGCAGTGAGCTGAGATGGTGCCACTGTGTTCCCAGCCTGGGTGGTAGAATGAGACTGTCTCAAAAGAAAAAATGAAAGAAAACAAAATTTATTGAGCTAGCATTCAAGATTTATGCACTTTAAATAAAGTATAAATTTTTTTTCATAAAAATTTTGTTTTTTAAATTATACTTTAAATTTTGGGATACATATGCAGCACATGCAGGTTTGTTACAGAGGTATACATGTGCCATGGTGGTTTGCTGCACCCATCAACACATCATCTACATTAGGTATTCCTCCTAATGCTATCTCTCCCCTTGCTTCTCACCCCTGGACAGGCCCTAGTGTGTGATGTTTCCCTACTTGTGCCCATATGTTCTCATTGTTCAACTCCCACTTATGAGTGAGAACATGCAGTGTTTGGTTTTCTGTTCCTGTGTTAGTTTGCTGAGAATGATGGTTTCCAGCTTCATACACGTCCCTGCAAAGGACATGAACTCATTTTTTATAGCTGCATAGTATTTGATGGTGTATATGTGTTACATTTTCTTTATCTAGTCTATCTTCGATGGGCGTTTGGGTTGGTTCCAGGTCTTTGTTATTATGAGCAGTGCTGCAATAAACATACGTGTGCATGTGTCTTTATAGTAGAATGATTTATAATCCTTTGGGTAGATACCCAATAATGGGATTGCTGGGTCAAATGGTATTTCTAGTTTTAGATCCTTGAGGAATCACCACACTGTCTTTCTAATGGTTGAACTAATTTACACTCCCACCAACAGTGTAAAAGCTCTCCTATTTCCCCACATCCTCTCCAGCACCTGTTGTTTCCTGAATTTTTATTGATCACCGTTCTAATTGGCATGAGATAATATCTCATTGTGGTTTTGATCTGCATTTCTCTAATGACCAGTGATGATGAGTTTTTTCCATATGTTTCTTGGCCACATAAATGTCTTATTTTGCAAAGTGACTGTTCATATCTTTTGGCCACTTTTTGATGGGATTGTTTTTTTCTTGTAAAGTTGTTTAAATTCCTTGTAGATTCTAGATATTAGCCCTTTGTCAGATGGTTAGATTGCAAAAATTTTCTCCCATTCTATAGGTTGCCTGTTCACTCTGATGGTAGTTTCTTTTGCTATGCAGAACTCTTTAGTTTAATTAGATCCCATTTGTCAATTTTGGCTTTTGTTGCCGTTGCTTTTGGAGTTTTAGTCATGAGGTCTTTGCCCATGCCTGTGTCCTAAATGGTATTGCCTAGGTTTTCTTCTAGAATTTTTATGGTTTTAGGTCTTACATTTAAATCTTCAATCTGTCTTGAGTTAATTTTTGTATAAGGTGTAAGGAGTTTCAGTTTTCTGCATATGGCTAGTCAGTTTTCCCAACAGCATTTATTAAATAGGGAATTCTTTCCCCATTGCTTGTTTTTGTCAGGTTTGTCAAAGATCAGATGCTTGTAGATGTGTGGTGTTACTTCTTAGGCTTCTGCTCTGTTCCATTGGTCTATATATCTGTTTAGGTACCAGTACCATGCTGTTTTGGTTACTTTAGCCTTGTAGTATAGTTTGAAGTCAGGTAGTGTGATGCCTCTGGCTTTGTTCTTTTTGCTTAGGATTGTCTTGGCTATACGGACTCTATTTTGCTTCCACATGAAATTTAACGTAGTTTTTTCTAATTCTGTGAAGAGAGTCAATGGTAGTTTGATGGGGAATAGCATTGAATCTATAAATTACTTTGGGCAGTATGGTCATTTTTATGGTATTGATTCTTCCTTTCCATGAGCATGGAATGTTCTTATGTCTGTTTATGTCCTCTCTTATTTCCTTGAGCAGTGGTTTATAGTTCTCCTTGAAGAGGTCCTTCACATCCCTTGGAAGTTATATTCCTAGGTATTGTATTCTCTTTGTAGCAATTGTGAATGGGAGTTCACTCATGATTTGGATCTCTGTCTATTATTGGTGTATAGGAATGCTTGTGATTTTTGCACATTGATTTTGTATCCTGAGGCTTTACAGAAGTTGCTTATCAGCACAAGGAGCTTTTGGACTGAGAGGATGGGTTTTCTAAATATACGAACATGTTATCTGCAAATAGGGATGATTTGACATCCTCTCTTCCTATTTGAATATCCTTTATTTCTTTCCCCTGCCTAATTGCCTGGGCCAGAACTTCTAATACTTTGTTGAATAGGAGTGGTGAGAGAGGGCACCCTTGTCTTGTGCTAGTTTTCAAAGGGAATGCTTCCAGCCTTTGCCCATTCAGTATGATATTGGCTGTGGGTTTTTCATGAATAGCTCTTATTATTTTGAGATACGTTCCATCAATACCTAGATTATTGAATGATTTTAGCATGAAGCGGTGTTAAATTTTATCGAAGGCCTTTTCTGCCTCTATTGAGATAATCATGTGGTTTTTATCATTGGTTCTGTTTATGTGATGGATTACGTTTATCGATTTGCGTATGTTGAGCCAGTCTTGCATCCCAGGGATGAAGCCCAGTTGATCGTGGTGGATAAGCTTTTTCACGTGCTGCTGGATTCGGTTTACCAGTATTTTATTGAGGATTTTCACATCGATATTCATCAGCAATATTGGCCTGAAATTTTCTTTTTTAGTTGTGTCTGCTAGGTTTTGGTATCAGGATGACGCTGGCCTTATAAAATGAGTTAGGGAGGATTCCCTTTTTTTCTATTGTTTGGAATAGTTTCAGAAGGAGTGGTAGCAGCTCCTCTTTGTACCTCTGGTAGAATTCAGCTGTGAATCCTTCTGGTCCTGGGCTTTTTTTGGTTGGTAGGCTATTACTGCCTCAATTTCAGAACTTGTTTTTGATCTATTCAGGGATTCAACTTCTTTCCGGTTTAGTCTTGTAGGGTATATGTGTCCAGGAATTAATTTATCCATTTCATCTAGATTTTCTAGTTTATTTGCATAGAGGTATTTATAGTATTCTCTGATGGTAGTTTGTGTATCTGTTGGCTCAGTGGTGATCCTTAATCATTTTTTCTTGTGTCTATTTGATTCTCTCTTCTTTATTAGTCTGGCTAGTGGTCTACCCATTTTGTTAATCTTTTCAAAAAACCAGCTCCTGGATTCACTGATTTTTTTAAAGGGTTTTTCATGTCTTTATCTCCTTCAGTTCTGCTCTGATCTTACTTATTTTTTTGCCTTCTGCTAGCTTTTGAATTTGTTTGCTCTTGCTTTTCTAGTTCTTTTAATGTGATGTCAGGGTGTCGATTTTAGATCTTTCCCACTTTCTCCTGTGGACATTTAGTGCTGTAAAATGCCCTCTAAAAACTGCTTTAGCTATTTCCTAGAGATTATGGTAAGTTCTGTCTTTGTTCTCATTGCTTTCAAAGAACTTTTTTTATTTCTGCCGTAATTTTGGTACTTACCCAGTAGTGATTTGGGAGCAGGTTGTTCAGTTTCCATGTAGTTGTGTGGTTTTGAGTGAGTTTCTTAATCCTGAGTTCTAATTTGATTGCACTGTAATCTGAGAGACTGTTACGATTTCCGTTCTTTTGCATTTGCTGAGGAGTGTTTTACTTCCAATTTTGTGGTCAGTTTTAGAATAAGTGCTATGTGTTGCTGAGAAGAGTGTATATTCTGTTGATTTGGGGTGGAGAATTCTGTAGATGTCCACTAGGTCTTCTTGGTCCAGAGCTGAGTTCAAGTCCTAAATGTCTTTGTTAATTTTCTGTTCGGTTGATCTGACTAATATTGACAATAGGGTGTTAAAGTCTCCCACTGTTACTGTGTGGGAGTCTATGTCTCTTTGTAGGTCTCTGAGAACTTACTTTATGAATCTGTGTGCTCCTGTATTGGGTGCATATATATTTAGGATAATTCATTCTTCTTGTTGTGTTGATCCTATTACCATTATGTTATGCCCTTCTTTGTCTTTTTTGATCTTTGTTGGTTTAAAGTCTGTTTTATCAGAGACTAGGATTGTAACCCCTGCTTTTTTTTGCTTTCTATTTGCTTGCTTCCTCTATCCCTTTATTTTGAGCCAATGTTTGTCTTTGTGTGTGAGATAGGCACAATTCCTTACTACTTCTCTTGGCTAGGGGAGGGAGTTCCCGCACCCCTTGCACTTCCCAGGTGAGACAACGCCACACTCTGCTTCTGTTCACCCTCCATGGGCTGCACCACTGTCTAACCAGTCCCAGTGAGAAGAGTCAGGTACCTCAGTTGGAAATGCAGAAATCACCCGCCTTCTGCATTGGTCTTGCTGGGAGCTGCAGACAGGAGCTGTTCCTATTTAGCTGTCTTGCCCAGGAATCTAAAAGTTTTTAAAAAGTTAAATAATTAAAGTTTTAGACACT